GTCAGGTCTTATTATTATTATTTTTTTTTAGCAATTTTGATCAAAGGAAGGTAAATTTAATTTCTTTTAAAGTGTTAACCAGCCACATTTATTGATATACATGGGACACAGGTTGTTTAGTTGCACAAAGATCTTTGAAAACCTAGAGTCCCTGAAGAGCTTTGACCAGAAAAGGAGAGATGGGATCTCTAAGAAAACTCACTCTGGGTGAAGGTGTAACCTGACCCATACTAGACTAAGTAGATTTGGAAGTTAGAAAAAGGAGATGGTTCTAAGTCAAATTGGAATTTGGTTCTGAGCATCTTTTCCTATATTGTCTGCATTTGGGAAAAGAGATTGTTTAGTCAAAGGAAGTAAACTAATTTTAAAATTTAAGGTTAGAAAAATGACCAGTGAGTTTATTGAGAACCAATTTATATTCCACATATGGTTTTGAGGCAACATATTAATCTTTATTGTTGTTTATTTTATTTGAGCTAGAATTGGGGTATGAAATCAGAGCTTCATGCCATTGCTTAGCTTTTTTGCCCATGCCTGGCATTCTACCACTTGAGCCACACATCAACTTTCAGCTTTTTGCTCATTACTTAGAGATAGGAATCTCTTGGATTTGTCTACCTAGGCTGGCTTTCAATCTTTTTGTTTTTACTTTTTTTTTCTTTTTAAAGCAGTGTACAAAGGTTTCCATTTAACAAAACAGTTTATGCATACCACTTGAGTCCTACAGCACCACTTCCAGTTTCCTCGTGGTTTATTGGAGATAAGAGCCTCATGGACTTTGCTGCCCTGGCTGGCTTTGAACCGTGATCCTTAGATCTCAGCCTCCTGAGTAGCTAGGATTACAGGTGTGAGCCACTGGTGCCCAGCTATATATTTGAGTTGTTTTCTCTCATATGTGGAGACTAAAATTATCATATTCTTTGTCTTTCTGGTCCTGACTTAAAATTTTTTTTTCCAGATCCTTCTGTTTCTTTGCAAATGTTGCAATACCATTCTTTCTTAACATGAGTAAAATTTCATTGTGTTATATCTACACCACATTTTCTTGATCCATTCCTTCATGTCCCCCAGAGGGACATCTGGGCTGATTCCATACCTCAGTTATTATAGCGAATAGTGCTGTAATGAACATGGCTGTGCAGGTAGCCTTAATATATATCCCATTATAATTTTTTTTGGTAAATGCCCAAGAATGCTGGATCATAGTTGTTTAGCTTTTTGAGAAAACTCCATACTGCTTTCCAGAGTGGTTAAACAAGTTTACATTCCCACAAATAGTGAGCTAGGACTCCTTTTTGCCATCCATATCCACACCAGCATCTGTTAGTGGTCATTTTTGTTTTCTGTTTTTTTTTGTTTTTGCCAGTCCTTGATCATCTTTTTGCTCAAGCCTCTAGCGTACTACCACTTGAGCCACAGTGCCACTTCTGATTTTTTCTGTTTATGTGGTTGTGAGGTGTTGAACCTGGGCTTCATGAATGCTAGTTAGGCAAGCCCTATACCAGAGCAACCTTCCTGCCAATGTTTGTATTTTTGATGATGGTCATTCTAACTGGGGTGAGATGGAATCTGTGTTGCTTTGATTTGCATTTCTTTTCCTGTGGCCAGAAATGTTCAGCATTTCTTTAGATCTGTTCGCCATTTCTATTATTTTTGAGAAGTCCATTTAGCTTGTTTGCCCATTTAGTAAATGGGTTGTTGATTCTTTGAGGGTTTATTTTTTTAAATAAGTTTTTTATTGTGAAAATACTGTATAGAGGGATTACAGTTATAAGAGCAAGATATTGAGTACATTTCTTATCAAGCATTGTTGCCTCTTCCTTTGTTTTTCCCCCTCCCATCCCCTCCCTCCCGCCTCCACAACTATACCTATCCCCCCTCGCCTAAATAGTGTCTTGTACATCTCATTGTTACAGTGGGTCAACCTGTATCCCTATGTAAACATTTTGTTTTTTCCCTTTCCCTCCCCAAGGGTTTATTTTTGTATGTTTGTAAAAGTAAATTGTAATTTCATTCTCATTGAACTCATTTCAGTATTTACTTTTGTTAAAGACAAATCAGTAAGCCCAAGTAAAAGCTCATATGATGAAAAATAGCCAGTCAAAGGTAGAAATTAGTTTTAAAAATAATTTTATTATTATTAAGGTGTTGAACAGAGGGGCTCCTTTTCATAAGTCAAGTAATGAGTACATTTTATTTTTTGAAAAAGCACACCTTTCCTCCAGTTTCCTCCTCCCATCCATACCCACAAATTACATAGATCATTTTCCACAGTGTATACTGAATAGCATGAATGCTTACTTTCTAAAAATGCTTTCTAAAAATCCCCAAACAAAACGACTCCCACAACCAAAACCCATGTTTCCATTTCCTGCAGTTTGTTTCAATAAGTAGTATTTTAAGTGTTTAGAGAAATTACACCTTTTGTTGTTGTTGTTCTTCTGAGGGTAACCTCCTATAAGTCTGACAATTTGTGAATGTCTAGAGTACTGTTAGGTTATCATGTCCAGTTAATTTTAGATGTAGCTTCCACATACGAGAGAAAACATTCTGTGTTTGTCTCTCTGATCTTGGCTTACTTAGCATTTGTTAAAGGTCCATCCATTTCTCTGCAAATCACATAATCTTTCTAATGGATGAGTACAATCTTTTTTTGTGTATATACTACATTTTATTAATCCACTCACTTGTAAGGCATCTGGGCTGTTTCTACAACTTGGCTGTTGTGAGTAGTATAGCAGTGAACGTGGATATGTAAGGTCTTTACCATATCCTGACTTGTAATGTTCTAGGTAGATCCCCAAGAATGGTATGACTGGGTCCATAGTAAAGTTACATGTGTAATTTTTTGAAGAACCCCCATACCTCCTTCCAGAGGGGTTGTACTAGTTTACATTCCCAGGAACGGTATAATTCCCCACAGCCCTGCTAGTATTTGTTGTTTGAGTCCTTGATGGTGGCCAGTTGTTTTGATTTGCATTTCCTTAATGGTCAGGGATGTTCAGTAGTTCCTCATGTGTCTTATTTGCCTTTCTTTTGAGAAATCTTTTAAAGCGTCTTTGCTCATTCATTCATTGGTTTATTAATTTTTAAAGTTCCTTGTGTATTTTGTATATTAGACCTTTATCAGATGTTTTGCTAGTGATGATTTTCTCCTAGTCTATTGGCTGTCATTCTGGTCATTAGGCCATTGTGTGATATATAGGTGGCAAAAATCTTTTCCCATTCTGTAGGTTTCGGTTGTCTTTTTAGCTTAACTGTCCTTGGTTGTGCAAATTTTTTTTAGTTTAATCTAATCATATTTATGCTGTGTTTCTCTATCTTTACTCAGAAAGTTTTTGCCTTGTACCAAGGAGTCCTAATGTTTCTTTACACCTTCTTGTAGTGATTTCATGGTTTCAGGTCTTACGTTGAGATCTTCGATGCATTTTGACTTGATACTGGTGCAGGGTGATTAATTCAGATTCAGTTTTAGTGTTCTGCATGTGGTTATCCAATTTTCCCAGCCTGGCTTTGAATCCTCATATCTCAGCCTCCTGAATAGCTAAGATTAAAGGCAGGAGTCAGTAGCGCCTTGCTTAGTCCAGTAAGTTTTGGGAGTGAGGAAGGAATCAGTGAGGTTTGAACTTAGGGTCTGAGCTTTCTCATTCAAGGCTAGTGCTTCACTACTTGAGCCACAGCTCCACATTTGCCCCTAACCCCTTTTTGTGGTTAAGTGGAAAGAAGTCCCATGGACTTTTCTGCTCAGGCTGGCTTTGAACCATGATCATCTGATCTCAGCCTTCTGAGAAGTTAGGATTACAGATGTGAGCTGTCCAGCTGACCCAGTATTTTTCTAAGGGAAGAGGTAAAAGAAGTAGGAAAATTATATTGAGGTAATGGTAAGGATTGTACCTTTCAAAAAAAGTCATATTTTTCTAAAGTTGAGCTATAATTTAATATTTGTAACATAAAATTTGAGTTTTTATTCTGTTATTGTGGTAAATATCTTATTTTTCAGTTTTTTGGTGTTTTTTGTTGTTGTTGTTGTTGTTGGTCATGGGGCTTGAACTCTAGGCCTGAATGCTGTCCTTCAGCTCAAGGCTCAAGGCTAGTGCTCTACCACTTGAGCCACTATGCCACTTCCAGTTTTCTGAGTGGGTTATTGGAGATAAGAGTCTCACGGACTTTCCTGCCTGGACTGGCTTCAACTGTGATTCTCAGATCTCAGCTTCCTGAGTAGCTAGGATTACAGGTGTGAGCCACTGGCCACCCAGCTTTCATTTTTCAGTTTTGTAAGATAAGAGACAATTCAATTCATCACATTAAAACTGTTGTCAAGAATATACAAGTAATAGAGTTGGGTTGTGACCTCTTGCAGTCAGGTTCTAGATATTTGGCTCTTAATCACAGTTGTAAATATTGTTTCTTTTAGCTAATACTACCTGTGATCAAGGATATACAGGTTTTTATGTTGTTAATTTGCCAATTTCCTTATAGATATTTCACAGTGATTCATAAATTGAAAGGTCATACATCTCACAAGCTGATGGAAATCAAACTTTCACTAGGAGGTATATCCCAGGCAGAAGAGTGCTTGCTAAGCATGCCAAAGGCCCCGAGTTTAAGAAACAAACAACAAAAAAGAAACACCAGTGGCTCATGCCTGCAATGATAATTACTCAGGAGGCTGAGATCTGTGGATCAGAATTCAAAGCTATCTCGGGCAGAAAAGTCCCTGAGAGACTGTATCTTTAACCAGCAAAAAGCCAGAAGTAGAAGTGAGGTTCAACTGGTAGTGTGCCAGCCTGGAGTGAAAAAGCTGAAGAGAGTGGGAGACCCATAGTTAAATTAAGCCCATTATGAGCACAAAGAAAAAGTAAACTCCAGTCTAATTCTAAGCCCTGTATTCTTTTAGTATTATACATTGTCTTTATATCCTTATTACAGATTTTTAGAGTTGTGTAGAATTTGCTAGTATTGATAACAGTTTTTAATAACACTTTTTTTCTTTTATGTAGGGATTTATCAAAGATGTTCATGAAGACTCCCTCACAGTTGTTTTTGAAAATAAGTAAGTTGTTACTTGACATCTTAATTTTCAAGTTTGGTAATGCCAAGATGTTTGTTTTTGAATATTCCTATTGTCAGTGGGGAACTGATTTTTTTTGAGTCCAAGTGCTTTGTGTAGTTGATTCATCTTATGAGTTCAATCAAGGAAGTCAGTTTTGATGACCTTTGCTGTTTGCCACAATTTGTATTTTTCTTGTCCCTTAGCCAAAATATATGATTCAGTAAATGTTTTTGTAGAAATAGATGGCATATAATGTTCCTCTTTCTCTCCCACCCTCCTCCAAAATTTCCTTTCCCTCTTTGTCTTTCCCTTGTTTCATATCAAAAGCCAGGTTCAAGACTGAATGCTGGCTAGGCAGGCACTTTATTGCTTGAGCCATCCCTCTAGCATATTGAGCCCAATTTTTAAGAGTGCTAAATGTTAAGATGCTATTGTAGAAGGCTTCTTAGATGGCTTTTTGTAATGAAACTAAAGTATTCGGTCATTTTTATTTGCTTGATATTTGTAGGAATATTTTATAGATAGTATTAGGAGTAGATAGTCTCAAAGTGGGAAAGACAGTATGGTATACTTGGCTAGGAAGCATTGTTATTTTCAGTTGGAGGTCTAACACTAAGAACTGTTCAACTTTAATTTCTGAGCTGCCTGAAAAGAACTTCCTCACAGCTATTTCATGTAGAAGTTAGTGTCTAGATGATTTGTCTTTGAGTACCTGCTATATAAATAGAAATTTTGAAAAGAAAGCAACTAAAATCTTTTTCCTGTTGGCTTCTGCTGAACCTACTATTGGTAGATATTAACATTTATGTGTGTCTCAAACTTACAACTTTCTAAGTTCATCTTACACAATAAAAACTGTCAAGCAAGGGGCTGGGAAGGTGGCTCAGTGGTAGAGCACATGCCTTGCATGCCAGAGGCCCTGGGTTCGATTCCTCAGCACCACATAAGCAAAAAAGAAAAAAGCCGGAAGTGGCGCTGTGGCTCAAGTGGTAGAGCGCTAGCCTTGAGCTGAAGAGCTGAGGGACAGCGCCCAGGCCCAGAGTTCAGGCCCCACGACCGGATCAAAAAAACAAAAACTGTCAAGCAACAACCAGATTAGTACTTTACAATAGTTATAGTTCCTACATTAATCTGAAAGTAAACTTTTCTAGGTTCTGATAACATATACTCGTACACATACATGCATACATTCATAATTTGATGCCCATTGTTGAAGTCTGGATTTTGCAAGTATGTTAAGCACTAAACTCCTTTTGAGCTCATGGGTAATTAGTTGATACATACTCAATTTCCAGCCCAAACTACTAATTTTTTTTATTACTGTAAATGCATATGTATGCTAGAATTACACAGTTTTGATAGTTTAGAATAAGCTGTGTTGCTTTTGTGACAAGTTGTATAATTGTACTTGAAATATGTTGATCATACCATTTTTATTTGGCAGCTGAAAATGTTACATTATTTTGTTATGGTGTACATTAGTCATCACTGAATTTATCCTGTTTCATTTGCAGTATAATGTATATATCATGACTCTAAGCAGAAATAATATAATAATCATACCTTCTGTATTAGAGATTTTTAAATAAATTCATTCTTTTTTTTAATCCTTCAGTTGGCAGCCAGAACGCCAGGTTCCATTTAATGAAGTTAGATTACCACCACCACCTGATATAAAAAAAGAAATTAGTGAAGGAGATGAAGTAGAGGTATGTGTTTGTGTTCATGGTTTATTTTTCATGTTCCTATTTTTTGGTTTTAAATGTTGTTGTTGGAAAATTTGTTTAGATGATAGAAAATAAATGGAATTCCTTTTCTCTGTTCTTTCTATTGGCAATAGCTGTGTAATACAGCAGTGTCTGAGATTGGAAGTCAGAACTGGATTCATGTTTCAGAAGTATATTTTAGCCTTGTGAACTGTAATGAAGTTTATCAGTAAGATGAAAATAATTTGAACATTAAGGATAATAGTGAATTTGAGTTGATTTCTAAAGACTAGCCCAAAACTTTGTGATATTAGTCCTATTCTTTTTTGCTAATTAGTGATTTTTGCTTCAATATCTTAAAATTTTGGTAATTATCAGTACAGATTATATATAAAAATGTGGGCTGGGCACCTATGGTAAACACCTATCATCCTGGTCTCAGGAGTCCGAGAGATCTGAGGGACTGATTTTAAGCCTTCATGTACAGAAAAGTCCTTAAGATTCCATCTCCAAAATAATCAGCAAAAAGTGAGGCTAGGCTAGTACTCTGTCTTGAGCCATGCTTTCAATCCAGTACTGAATATTTCTCACAGGAAGTTGCTTGATAGTAACTAAGAGGTTTTTAAGTCTCACTTGTGCCTATTTTATATAGGGTTGGATAGGGAAACGGGAGGAATTGGAGAATTTATAACTGATGAAATGATTTTCTCTCTGATTCTTAACATTTTAAGCTTGTGTGTATGCATAGGCAAATGTGTATATATGTTTGTGTGTGTGTAGGCAATGGAAAATATCCACCCCCATTGATCTTCAGTGGTCATTTTATTGAGACAGTCACACTATGTAGGTCAGGCTGGTCTTGAACTTAAGATCTTCCTGACTGCCTCCTGAGTACTGGGATTATACATCTCTACCACTATACCATGTCTAGTACAATTCTTTTTTTTTTTTTCCATGATAAATTTTCTTTATTGGTCCTGGGGCTTGAACTCAGTATCTGGTCACTGTCCTGAACTTTTTTTGCTCAAGACTAATCCTCTGCCATTTGAGCCATAGTACCACTTTTGGCTTTTTTGCTGGTTAATTGGAGGTAAGAGTCTGACAGATTTTTTTGCGTGAGCTGACTTAGACTACAATCCTCAGATCTCAGTCTCCTGAGTAGCTAGGATTACAGGTATGAGCCTCTAGCGCATCAGGAAGCAAAAATTACCCTTTGGGGTGGGGTGCTGAGAATATGTTTTCCTCTGTCTTTGATCTAGGAAGGAACAAGCCTTATCTCTGGTCTGTTTACCCAACTGTGAACAAAATATTCATGTTAGAAATTTAATTATTCAGAAATAAATAATCCTAGGTTATTGTATTTCACTTTGCTTTATGATTTAGCCCTAAAAATGTTAAGCTGTCTTTGGTTTTGTGAATTATTATCATGAATTAAAAATATATTTTACTTTTGAAGATTGAAGAAAAAAGTTTTAAGTTTTGTACCAGCAGTGCATTCCTTTGGTGGTCAGGGCAGCAACATTTTTTAGTAGTATGTTGGTATGTATCATAATTAAAAGGCTGTAATTAGTAGACTTTTTGCTATTACCAAAAATAACATTAACTAAGGTTCTTTTGTAAATCTTCTGGTAGTATAGATCTTAAAGAGTTCCCTTGTTGAATCAAATTCATAGTCAATTTTCTTTTGCTTTTTTTTAAGTTTCTGTACTAGGGCTTGAACTCAGGGTTTGAACACTGCCCTGAGCATTTGTGCTCTAGGCTAGCACTCTACCACTGGATCCATGACTTCACTTTCAGCTTTTTTGGTAGATAATTGGAGATGAGAGTCTGATGAACTTTCCTATCTAGGCTAGCTCTGAACTGCTATTTTTGGATCTAAGCCTCCTGAGTAGCTAGGATTACAAGTGTGAGCCACTGGCGCTGAGCTTGATATTTAAGATTTTGATACTATCAAAAAGAACCATCTCAGCCCGGTATCGGTTTTGCTTGTTGGAAACGCTTTGTCTGCTGAACTTTCATTTCCTTGGTCAGTAGTGACATCAAACACCTTGTAAATTGTGTTTTTGGAGAGAGAGTGGAGTGTGTGTCTTTGTATGTCTATGTGTCTTGAACTCCAGGCTTGGACATTGTTGCTGAGCTGCTTTTGCTCAAAGCTAGTGCTCTATCTCTTGAGCTACAGTTACACTTTCAACCTTTGTGGTGATTCATTGATGATAAGAGTCTCATGGACTTTTCATGCCTAGTCTGGCTTTGAAATGATGCTGAGATCTCAGCCTTCTCTGAGTAGTTAGGATTACAGGTGTAAGTAACCAGCACACAATTCTGTTTTGATTTTTGTTCTTACTGTGTTCAGAATAAAAACTTCTGGTCTTTTAACATGCTTAGGCCAACAAATGTACTTGTTACTAGAGATAGTGGTGCTACAGGGAAATAAAAAGGTATCCAAAAGGGAGGAGGGCTCTACCGGGTCTTCGTAGGTGCTATGTTTTTGTTTTGTCCTGTGGTTTTTCTTCTTTTGGAGACAGGGTTTCAGTATTATAGCCCAGGCTGGCCTTGAACTGTGTCTTCTTGCCTCTGCCTTCCACGGGAATGGATTATAAATCCAGTGTATGCCTGTAATTAACTTTTTATTCTCTGTTTATGAGCAAGGTTTATGAATCAAGGTCCTTTGGTAAATATGAAAATGATTTAGATGGTTTCAAGACTCGAGATACCTACCACTGAAAGAGGTGTTACTAGATATTAGTTAAGGGTTAATTTATTTTGCATTTTTGTTTTTTGACACTGGGATTTGAAGTTTGTACCTTATACTTCTTTACTAGGTGCTCTACCACTTCGGCCGTTTGGCCAGCTCCTATTATTTAAATATAGCAAGTCAACTTTCATTCAGTATTTTTCTTGTTTTGATAATGTAAAAACTTAAAAATAGGAACTGTTTTATAAATTTAACTGCCCATTAGTTATTATTTATGATTCTAAAATATATCTTATTAATATTAATCTCATTTAAAAATGTATCTCTGAAAAGGTTTATTACTTTTGGTGTATCATACACTTACCATTACTTAAAGTATATGTCTAAAATACTTTCATTACATGTGGATCATCTTACACTGAGATCAGATTGTACTACTTGAAAAAATTATATATCTATGGGTTTAATACTATAACCACTAAATTTTTTTTATTATAAAGGTGATGTATAGAGGGGTCACAATTATATAAGTCAGGTAGAGTACATTTCTTTTTGGCAATGTCACCCCTTCCCTCTAGCAATTTTTGTTTTAGAAATTCAGCAGAGTTTGATATTCAATCAATTTGACATGACTAACCCATTGAAAATTTTTTGTTTACCATCGGTTTCTATTCATCTTTGCATACTGCATTTGGCATTTTTCCATGTAGATCAGGAGTAAGGAATCTTTTTTTTTTCCTGAGAGCCATTTGAATATTTGTAAAATCACTTACAGGCCACATATCATATATATCTGACATGTGTCTGTTTTGTCTTATATACAAAACAATTTCATAGGCTTTTATATCCATTGAGCTGGACATTCCCCATCGCTGATGTAGCAAGTAAATTTTGGTGCACAAATATGTTAAAAAATCAAAGAATACTCTCATCCTTGTAAAAAAAAATAGGATATTACTGGGTCTTTGTCAGAGAATTTTAGGAGTTTCTTATTGAGTGATTAACTGAATAAGGCTATCATCTTAACTTTTCTTCTTAGGAATACATTGAGAGCATTAATTCAGAATGTCACCTGAGGATTTTGTAGTCTCAAGATACCAATAGAATCTAGACAGCTGCTGTCTTTTTGGCTTCTCTAATTCTCCTAATAATTGTAAAATACTTTCTGTATCTTTTTTATTCTTATAATTATAGGAGAATAGTTAAGTATTCCAGATATTCTACTATTCAAAAATAACCCAAAGTAGCCAACTCAAGTTATGATTTAAGGAAACTGCAGGATGCTGCAGGCTTTTTTTGTGTGATATGCTTATACTTGATGCCATCATTCTTCTGTTTCCTTAAGTCTTTAAAAATGTTTAGCTGAAGGTGTGGCTTAGGAGTAGAGTACCTGCTTAGCAAGCTGTCCCTTGAGTTTAAACCCTATACTTGAAAACACACACACACACGCACACACGCACACACGCTCACACACTGAACCAATGAGATGTAGCTTGGTAGAGCTTAGCACCCCTAACTTAGCACAGCTAGCTAAATAAATAGATGTAGACAAAATAAAATAATTCAGTTCTACCTTAGGATTGTTGTAAAGGATTCAGTGTATGCATATTGCAGTGTGACAGAATAAATTTTATTCCAATAGAAAATAATTTTCATGTTGAGACCTCTAGGAAAGAATAAACATGAAATACTGAAGAGGAACATTTGCTTAGAAATTCAGATTCTAAAATTGATTTCACTGGATCCTGACTGTTACACTTGTATCTGTTTTTTTTTTTTTCTCATAGCCCTTTCCTAATTTGATTGCTAGATTTTGGCTCACTCATTTACAATTAAGTATACCTACCCACTTCCAAAATGTTTGTGAAATGATCTTAGAGCTTCTCAAAACTGTTTACAAATGTTCCTTACATAACTCTTACCAATCAATAGTTGATTTCTCTAGTCACCTGGTGCAGTCTTACTTCCTTTATTCAAGATTGTTTTTTTGTGAGAATACTTTGTTGTTTTCCTCCTGCTACTTGCTTTCATGTTTTGAAAATATATTAAGATACAGTATTGTAGTAATTTCAGTTGGTTTCTTTAGCAGAAACGCTGTTATTTCCTGAAAGTGATTTCAACGTTGAGTTTGTCTTCTGAAAACAATTCTTTTGAATTATTGAACAGAGCTGAAGGACATGTTATATAAGACTGCCTTTTTTTTTTTTTTTTTTGGGTCCGGTCGTGGGGCCTGAACTCTGGGCCTGGGCGCTGTCCCTCAGCTCTTCAGCTCAAGGCTAGCGCTCTACCACTTGAGCCACAGCGCCACTTCCGGCTTTTTTCTTTTTGCTTATGTGGTGCTGAGGAATCAAACCTAGGGCCTCATGCATGCAAGGCAAGTAAGTGCTCTACCACTGAGCCACCTTCCCAGCCCCAGCTGTTTACATTTTTTAGCATCGTTTAGTTGTATAAGAGAGTTAAATTTATATGCATGTATAGGATATACTTTGATTAGGTTCACCCTTCTCTATCACTCTTTCAAATATTTTTTGAAATTTAGCTCTTTAAATACATAGACATTTCTGTTGACCAGACTAATTTTTTATCTTTTCTGGAGTAATGAGAAAGTTATTATAGTATGACATTAACATTACATTAACATTTAGTGTAGGGATCCTAGCTTCTCCTACCTTCCCACTGTACATCTTCTGAATAGCAGGTATAATATAGGAGTTCAGCAGGGAATACTTTAGAATGAATGAATGTTAGCTAAAGAGAAAGCCATATATAGTATATGCTAGTCATGGAGCATTCCTGTAGAAGGAGCATGTTTGTATGTAAATCTTGAAAAATGATGATTGAACTTTTGAGTGATTCACATATTTGTGTATAGTCTGCTAGTGAAGCAACTGTGAAGAGAGTTAATATCTTGAGTGACATGCATTTGCGAAGTATTCGTACAAAGTTGATGCTTATGTCCAGAAATGAAGAGGCCACTAAGCATTTAGAAGTAAGTGGTTTTATTTATGAAAACTTTATTGTTTGTCCCATTTACTATCAAAAGTATATTTTTGTTTGGTGGGTTAACTTGACTGTTCAGACCAACTAGGTAGGACATGTTTAATGCTTATTATCTGAAGTTCTTAGAAGAAGAACTGGTTATTTTATGTACCTATTTTTATTTCTGTTTTTATATTTCTACTTAAATTTTTGCTTTTAGTTATTTTTCAGATTTTATTTTTGCCCAGGCCACCTTGGAATCCAGTCTTCCTATTATTTATGCATCCCATATAGCTGAATTACACTGGTACATCATCATACCCCAGCTTAATTGTTAATTGAGTCCTGATACCTTTTGTCTGTGCTGGACTTGAACTACAGTCCTCCATCTCTTTGTATCCTGAGTAGCTGGTACACTCTGCCTGGCATCTGTTTTAATTTATCAAACATGGCTTTTCTTTTGTTAAATGCCTCTTGAATTTCCATGTTAGGGATTAGATGACAGAGCCAAAGAATTTAGTAACAATAGTGAGATGATTTTGCTACATTGTTGCTTTTTTTTTAATTAACCACTATATTTCCTATCACAAAATCAGTTCACTGTAGCAACTCTTCTATATTGCTGTTTGTACAAAGTTGATGAGGTCTGGGAGTGGAAAATAAATCACATGCTGTATTTTTAAAATATGCCTTGCCATTTCTTCTCCTGTCTATTGTATATGTGTGTCAGAATTGGAATTTGAACTCAGGGCTTGGGCATTGTTGTCACGTAGCTTTTTATGCTCAAGGCTGATGCCTTCCCTCTTCAGTCACGGCTCCACTTCTGGTCTTTTGATAGTTAATTGGCAATAAATAGTCTCAAGGACTTTCCTGCCCTGACCAGTTCTTCTGTCTTAAGATTCTATATTTTCCTTTCCACTACCACTCTATTAATGTATTTGTTCTTCTCTTTCCTCACCATCCGAGCTAAATATAATATTCACATACACACTACTTTTATCTGGAAAAATTGAGTTTTCTTTATCCTTAGGAAATATTAAGGATATATGAATGAATTCTAAAACAAGAATGATTGTATTAGAATACTGGGTGTGTAATTCCCGTAATGCTGTTTTAGAATTATTGTGTGACCAGGAATTAAATGCACTGGATTAATTAACCAGTATTTTATTTTCCTTTTCATTTTATACCAGAAAGATTTTATTTATTCCATAGGAGAATGAATTTTGGACTTTATTAATTTTTCTATTATTATTTATTTTTTTTGAGCTGGTCCTGGGGCTTGAACTCAGAGGCTGTACATTGTCCCTGAGCTTCTTTTGCTCAAGGCTAGCACTCTTACCACTTGAACCCAGCGCCACTTTTGGCTTTTTTTTTCTGTTTATGTGGTACTGAGGAATTGAACCCACGGCTTCATGCATGGTAGGTAAGCACTCTAGCCACATTCCCAACCCTGAATTTTGGACTTTTTCACTTAGGTTTTGTTTTTTCTCTCAGAAGGCTGAAATCTGAGGATGGTATGTGAAGCCAGCCCAGGCAGGAAAGTGTGAGATCCTGTCTCTTAATTACCAAAAAGCTGGAAGTGGAGCTGTGGCTCAAAGTGGTACCCACTAGCTTTGAACACAAAGAGTTCAGGGACAGGCCTTGAATTCAAGCCCCAGGAACTTAAAATTTTTAAAATGTGCATTTCATTGATGTCAATGGATTTTACATTCTCTTGATACTTCTCAGGTACCCTAGTCTAGACTGGTCTAGAATTCAAAATCATCCTGCTACTCCACGGCTGGATTTTGCTCTACTTGACCATCCTTTTACCCCATTTTTATCCGTTTTGTGGACTAGTCTAAGATCCCATTGAAGCACAAGACAAAAATAAGACTTGTAGATGACTACAGTATCATAGTCCTATTTTCATTTAATAAATATTCTTTGTAACTTCAATTATTTAGAATTATAGAGATGAGCTGGTTTTTGTAAAATATACTTGTAGATAATGCCAGAATTGCAGGCTTGTGCTGTCACAGGCTTGTGCTGTCACATGCAGCATTGTGGGATTTTTTTGTGGTGGTTTTTTTTTTTTTTTTGGTTGGTCATGGGTCCTGAACTCTAGGTCTGGGCATTACCCCTCAGTTCTTCAACTCAAGGCTAGCGCTCTACCACTTGAGCCACAGCGCCACTTTTGGCTTTTTCTGCTTATGTGGTGCTGAGGAATTGAACCCAGGGCCTCATGCATGCAAGGCAAGCACTCAACCACTGAGCCACCTTCCCAGCCCCAGCATTGTTTTTTTTTGTATTCTTGGTCAACTTGTACTTTTCACATTGTTAATACGCTCCTGTTCAAAAATTTCCAATTTTCTCTTCCCTCCAGACCCTGGTAACCACTTTTATTTTCTCTAAATATAATTACTCTAGGTATGTAAGTGGAGTCTTTCAATTAGGCTAGTAATGCTCTCAGTCAGTGTTCATTTGTGTTACAGTATGTTTAAGAATTTTCTCTCCTTTTTCAACGATGATATTTCATATATGTATATACCACAGTATTCATTGGTTGGTAGATAAGATGTTTTCAACCTCTTGATGTGAATCATAAATGGGGATATAAGTCCTAATTTCCCTCTTTACTATTAGTGCACAAAACAACTTGCAGCAGCTTTTCATGAGGAATTTGTTGTGAGAGAAGATTTAATGGGCCTGGCAATAGGAACACATGGTAGTAATATACAGCAAGCGAGGAAGGTTCCTGGAGTTACCGCCATTGAGCTAGATGAAGATACTGGAACATTTAGAATCTATGGAGAGGTAAGTTGGCTTTTCTTGCTTCTGCTAACTTTATAGAATGAACAGTCTGCTGAATTATAATATTTTATGTGGAATTTCATTTTATCTTAACTATTATTGAAGGTAGAATTCATTCACCTAAAATCCATCAACTTGGCAGGTTGTAAACCTAACTACTCAGGAAGCTGAGGTCTAAGTATTGAGGTTTTAAGCCATCCCACATAGACTCTTAGGTGGCTTAGGTTGTAGAGTGCCAGCCTTGAGTGAAAAATAGTGCAAGGACCTAGTCTAAGAAAGATAAAATGTTTATGTGTGTGCTGGTCCTAGGGCTTGATCTCTGGGCCTGGACTCAGTCCTTGAGCTTTTTTGTCCAAGACTAGTGCTCTGCCACTTAAGCCACAGCTCCACTACTAGCTTTTCTTGTGCTTAACTGGAGATAAGGGTCTAATGGATTTTCCTGCTCAGACTGGCTTTGAACCATCATCATCGGATCTCAGCCTCCTGAGTGGCTACATTACATATGTGAGGTACCGGCACCTGGCTGGAAAAGTAAATTTAATACCCTAGTTTTTATGTTTTCTATTTCTCTATAAAGAGATCCTATGAGATGTAGCTATTCCATGCTCATTGCATATCCTGTTTTGTGAAGTTCACGTTCAGTGTTCCTGGGTTCAATGTTTGATTTTTCTATGTCTGTATACTCTTAGTAAATTTTTCATGATTAAAAAAAAATAGTGCAAGGTCTTGAGTTCAAACCCCAGCCTAAGGTACCAAAAAAAAAAGAAAATCAGGTTGTGGGGCCTGGCATAACGGCTCATGGTAGTGATCTTGGCTAGTAAGAATGTGGCTTCAGAGTTCAATCAGTTTATTTAAGAAAAGAAATCTCAGCCTAGTAATTATTAAGTAGTAGTTATAGTCATCTTCTGTTGGGAAAAAGAAGGATTTTCTGAGTAATGTTTAGAATTTTCAGAAGGTTCTTAATGACTTCCATAGTTTTTTTTTTTCCAATTTTATGCCTACTACAAATAATTCATCCATTTAATTTTGATTGCTATTTTGTCAACACCAGTAGCAAATAGTATGTAATAAAACCTTTTTATGACGTGACTTTGGATAATATTTTGTCACTTTGCATTTGCAGGGTAGGAAATGAAGTTATATAAAAAACATAAGCACTTGGGAGGCCAGGAGGATGGGAAGTTCAGGGCCAGTCTAGATATTATAGTCACCCTTCAGCTTGGGTAGCTTAGCTAAGACAGTGTCTCAAAATAAGGAGTAAAACAAGAGCCCAGTGGTGGAGGTGGAATACTTGGCTAAAATAGGTTACTTCCTGGGTTTACTTCCTGTTACTAGAGGGGAAAAGTGTTTATTCCAGATGTTTGATTAAGACCATTCCTCAACTATGATTTTTTTCCCCAAATTTTGACCTTTTAAAAAGTTATTTTTGGTGCTTGAATGCAAGGCCTGGGTGCTTTCCTAAGTATTTTTTTCCGCCGTCTTTCAAGTGTAGCACTCCACCACTTGAACCACAGCTCCACTGGTGGTTAATTGGAAATAAGAGTCTCACTGACTTTCCTGCCTGAGCTGGCTTGAACCAGGATCTCCAGATCTCAGCCTCCTGAGTAGCTAGGATTACAGGCATGAGCCCCCAGTACCCAGCCCTAATGCATACAATAATTCTGACCACAGAGATTTGTTTATATTGCTGAGAACTTTCAAAAGTGGGCTATGCAACATAATCATTCTGAGGACAGACATTGTAGCCTGGCTCTGCATTTTGATAAGTTTCTTATCTTTTCCAATAATAATGATGATACTTACCATACAGTTTCTGTTTCAAGTGTTTTATTACATATGGTATACATTGAAGTGAGCACAGTGAATTCTTGAGCTATGTTTCTTAAGAGAACCATCAAAAGAGAATTTTTTGAAATTTAAATACCTTTCCCTACTTTTCATATGTTTAAATAGTTCCAGTAGGAACCAAAATAAATTTTATGCTCTTATCAGTAAAGTTCTTTTAAAAAATCTACCTCTGCAAAAGCAACTTTTAAAATCATTTCTGGGGCTGGGAAGGTGGCTCAGTGGTAGAGTGCTTACCTTGCATGCATGAGGCCCTGGGTTCGATTCCTCAGCACCACATAAGCAGAAGAAAAAAAAAGCTAGAAGTGGTGCTGTGGCTCAAGTAGTAGAGTGATAGCCTTGAGCTGAAGATCTGAGGGACAACACCCAGGCCCAGAGTTCAGGCCCAACGAACAGACCCCCCCCCCAAAAAAAAAAAATCATTTCTGACTTTGAGAATAAGTGCAGTTTTTCAGAAAATTTGAATAAGTATGTTTTTTGCACTTATATGGCAAATACATTCTGAGAATATGGACCAGTATGTTTTGGAAGGGGTTAATGTTTGGCTCCTCACTAGTATGTAATAGACGTAATTTAAACTATTATTATTAAAAGATTGCAGACACTCTAAATTTTTTGAGTGCAACTTTTTTCTTTTTTGGTTGGTCATGGGGCCAGTTGGGCCTGGGCGCTGTCCCTCAGCTCTTCAGCTCAAGGCTAGCATTCTACCACTTGAGCCACAGCACCACTTCCTGCTTTTTAATAGTTCATAACTTAATCTGAAATAGCACTTCTTAATGACTGAGCAGAACTTTGCTCTTCTCATTTTGTTTTGGACTATGAGTTTGCTTCAAGATAGTAACAGTAATTCCTATTTGTTTTCCCTTTATTTAGAGTGCTGATGCTGTAAAAAAGGCTAGAGGTTTCTTGGAATTTGTGGAAGATTTTATTCAGGTTCCTAGGAATCTTGTTGGTAGGTACTTCTAAAATATTAAATAAATGTTTATACAGATTAATTTGAAATTAGTTTCATAGTTTGCTATCTTGTTCTAATTATAGGAATATTTAGATAGCAAATATTACCATATTTTTGATGATAACATTTTATGTGACTTGGACCTATATGAAGATGCTTTTTTCTCTAATAAGACCTATAATTTGTAGAACAGTCCGTCATATTAGTTTTTCTTAAATCTTCTCATCCATGGAGTTCTTCCCTATTCCCTTCCTTATGTGTCTTTTTTACCAGATATTCATCGGAATTGTGATGGTACTTTTTGAAAAGGTGTTTATGATAATGTTTTTCTTTAATGCAGATGAGAAAGTAACTGCGCTAACAGTAGGGAGGGTAATCGATTTTTGCATAATAGGCCCTGAAGTATTAGTTGTTGGCAAAGTCATAGAATAAGCGAAGAAGTCACGTGCAGGAGATGATGCTTTGTGAGGAAAGGTTTCAGTATTGTTTATCTCTACTAATGAAAATGATGGCATGCCTGAGTTATATAAATTGGCAAAAGCTTTGAGCTTGAAGCAATAGTTAAAAAAGCATTCAAGCCTGGGATGACTAAATGGTTCTGTTACTAATGTGTCTTATGTCTATGCTTTGCTTTTTTTGTGTGTGTGGTAGGGTGATATAGTTAGGGTGCTCAGAGCACGTCCTTAACACCTGTGCTGTCTTTAGAGCTATGAGGCAAATGTAATAAGTAGTAATTATTTTAAATAGTAAATAAATGAAAAGAATAACAAAATGTAGTATAGTTCACCAACAGGAATGACTTTCTGTTCCCTTTGTCTCATTAAGTTTTAACTCTGATGAAGTTATTTCTGCCTTTTTGGGTCCATTTATATAATGGGACCTCTTCATCCTTTAGGAAATAATTGCCTAGGTAATGATGTTTCATTTATCATACTGCAAAAAACTGAAGAGAATTTAAAATGTATGTTTTGACTGATAAGCAGTATATTCAGGAAAAATGATTTACAACACAAGGATTTCCTTTTTTTTGGAGGGGTGGTCAGTTGTGGGGCTTGAATTCAGGGCCTGGGCACTGTCTCTGAGCCATTCTGCTCAAGGTTAGCGCTTTACCACTTGAACCACAGCTCTGGTGGTTAACTAGTGATAAAAAGAGTCTCACAGATTTTCCTGCCCGGATTGGCTTCAAACTGATCCTGAGATCTCAGTCTTCTAAGTAGTTTACAGGTGTAGGCTACCAGCATTCACCAGCACTTATTTCTTGAAATCAATGATTAGTAGTTTTATATTAAATGCTTTTCAATTCTGTACAAGTCTTTGGGTAGATAATGACATACTATTAATTACAAAAATTAGTTGATGAGTTCTTAGTGTGCTATTGTTTGCCATACTTTGTGCTGCTGGGGAGATAAGTTGAAATTAAAGGTGAATAAAATCTTCAAGAATTCTGTATAATTTTAATAAGCATCTCATACAACCATATCCAAATATTTAGTCAAATGAAATCACGATTAACAGAACTGCTTTTGAAAAATGTGTGCTTTGTATTTAAGTCATACTGAGTTATTGATATCTGTAAGGCACAAATATTGTGGTACCTGCTGTGCATATTGTAATTTTAACATTTTCTCGCTTAAAATGATATGGTAGAGCTATAAGGAAGAGTTAGATTTCTTTCCAACTTGATTCTGCAAAAGTACCCTTATTCTAAGAGTTTTTGTATTATGAGTAACAGTTCTTGATACTTAAGAAATAATGAAATTGAATATATTAGTTTTCTTATTCTGCTTGTCTTTTTCTTTGATTTTCTTACCAATCCAACGATAGTGCATGTTTTTCCTGTATTCTGGTTAGTTTTGGTAATGTGAATTGCTTGTATGCTCTTCAGGAAACGAATGAAATGACAACATTGGTGACATTAAGGAGTAGGTCAAAATTTCTGTTGGTTGTCAAGTGTAATACTGTATTTCCCTCAGCTGTTTCATGAATAAAGCACTCTTTTGAAAGATAGTGTATTCTAAGTGAAAGAGAAAAAAAAGGACTGAGGAATAAAAGGGAATGAGGACCACTTGGTGGGTAAGTTCCAGAGAGGATTCAACTTAAACTTAACAAATTTCAAGAGTTTTAGGATTTGATCATTTCTTTCCTTTCCCAAATAAATTTTCTGTGTATATTGAGTTGAGAATTAAAAATTTTCACTTCATAGAAGCTTCTTTTAATCACTTCTTTATCCCATCAACATTTATTCTTAGTGCTCAATTTATACTACAGGTGTGCTTCAGTTTGTCAATATGCTCTGGAATTTAAACTATGGAAATGATCAATTAAAATATTGAAGGTCTCTGGCGGGACCAAATAAAACTTGCAGGTAGGTCCCTGCCAAGGACCCAGGAGTGTAATGGAAGTTTATTCACCACTGGTGTAGATCACAAGAAGGAAGTGACAAAGATATTGGGAGAAGGAATTATGCCCTATTAAATTGATTTTTGCTTTTGAGAAGACATTTGCTTCTTTTTTATCAGGGTGTCAAATATGAAGTTGATTCTTGAGCTTCACTGTTTAACAATGAAGGTGGCTTTTAATGTGCTGCGGCTAGAGCTTTTCAGAAGACTTAACATTCTGTGTCCTAATTGCTTTTTGTAACCAGTTCGATTTCTGTTGCTTTTAAATTTAGGCTTACTAATGAGGAGGGAGATTTTAAAATGGGGTTAAAAGAGTGAGACTATCCTGTCAGAATTCTTTTGCTATATTGACCAGTTTACTGTTAACCATTATTCCATTATTCTTCAATGGAAATTGTTCTTTTAAGCACGCAAGCGAAAATTTTTATTTTTAACTCTTTTCAACCAAAATAATTAGTTGCAAGCTTTTCTAAAAATGGTTTAGTCAAAATGATGTGTAATTTATAACAAATATGAAGATCTGTTTTATATAGTAAAGGTTACCAGAATATTTTCTGATTACTAAGTGACGGTACCCAGGTTGCTTCGTTTTCTGTATTAATCTTTAATGGGGAGAAAGAGTATGTTCTCTTTTTGAGACTTTGCTTTAATTATGGTATGTTTAATAGCTGGAGTTGCCAGATTTACAGGTATGGAGAAGGTAACAGTTTTGAATTTTATGTTGTAAGCAAGGCAATGAACATGTTTTCATATATATATATATATAAATATAATATACCTATATATACTTTTATAAAGCTGTGAGAACTTTTAAAACTTTTGATGTAAATTGTAATACTTTTAAAATGTATTTTGTTTTTACTGAGAATATTTTGAAAATCATGTCAAATCCTTTGGACAAATACAAACTTGAAAATAAAAGCAAGATAACTGTGACTATCACCCTAGAAATGAATAAGTTGATAAAGTTAATATCAATGTAATACAGCTTTCTATTTGCTTTATATATGTAGAAAAATTTGAAGTGGTTTGGAGTTTTTATTTTTAAAATGTAAAGATGATAAAAGGACAAGTAAATATTTAGACTGAAAATTTCTATGTGAGAATTATTTTCAATTTCAGTAACTTCAGGTATATTGAAGAGAATCAAATTTCAGACTAAGGGTAAAATTTCTTGGTAGTCCTTATGTGATTTAATCGAAAATAAAATGTAGGAGCTTTGCTAAGTGTTCATATTTGATATCGTCATAAATTATTCAGGTTGGTGTCTGAGAATATAGGGAATTTGTTTTAACTACTGTATTTATTTTCTTTTACAAAGGAAAAGTAATTGGGAAAAATGGCAAAGTCATTCAAGAAATAGTGGATAAATCTGGTGTGGTTCGGGTGAGAATTGAAGGAGATAATGAAAATAAACTACCTAGAGAAGATGTAAGTGTTTTTAGTGTAAGAACCCTCTTTGTTTTCCATGTTTCTTGGGTGACTTACTGTTATATTTTAGGATTCATTTCAAAAAGATGTCAGTTAATCTACTTTGATAAAGGTTATGCTTCCTTGCTTTAAGAAAATTCTGTTCCTTAAACTTTTTCAAAGGCTGGAATGTTTCAGGTTTCCAAATGATGCATGGTAAAACATTTTGAATATCGATTATTGGAATCTTGGCATGTTATAGCCAAGTAGAGACTCAGCATTACAACTTACTTGTTCTAAAGAGCCTTTTTGACTTGTATGCTGAGATGACCTTTCCCACTTACATATTATTCATTGCTATTTTTTATCTTTAAGATGCGTGTACAGAGGGATTACAGTTACATGAGTAAGGCAATGAGTACAATACTTGTCGATCATTGTTATTCTTCCCTTCCTTGTTGTTGTCCCACTATCCATTCCCTCCCCAACCTCCCCCTCTTCTTACCACCCTCCACCCACAGTTGTGAAGCGCATTTCCAATATACTGTCCTGTGGGTATCCTTGTTGCAGTGGGTCATTCTGTGTCCTTGTTTCATCACTGCTATTTTTTTGTTGCTGTTGTTTTGTTTTTTTTTGGGTCCGGTCGTGGGGCCTGAACTCTGGGCCTGGGCGCTGTCCCTCAGCTCTTCAGCTCAAGGCTAGCGCTCTACCACTTCAGCCACAGCGCCACTTGCGACTTTTTTCTTTTTGCTTATGTGGTGCTGAGGAATCGAACCCAGGGCCTCAGGCATGCAAGGCAAGCGCTCTACCACTGAGCCACCTTCCCAGCCCCATCATCACTGCTATTTTTTATCGTATGTTTTCAAAGATTTCTTTCAAACAGGTTATGAACTCCTTGTAATCAAAGTCATATGGACATTTAAAATTACCTGCTTATATAAACACAGATTACTGATATTAAAAATGTGGCTGGGTGCTGGTGGCTCACGCCTGTAATCCTAGCTACTCAGGAGGCTGAGATCTTAGGATCACAGTTCAAAGCCAGGTTGGGCAGGAAAGTCCGTGAGACTCTTATTTTTAATAAATGGCCAGAAAACCGGAAGTGGTGCTGTGGTTCAAGTGGTAGAGCACTCGCCTTGAGTTAAAGAGCTGAGGGACAGCGCCCAGGCCCAGAGTTCAAGCCCCACAATCAACAAAAATGAACAAGTACATGTGTATCCTGCCATGTCTTGTCTTCCCTTTCCATCATGCCTAATAGATTTTAGTGTTGTTTGGTTACTTTTTTTTTTTTTTTTTTTTTGTGGGTGCTATCCCTGAACTTATGTTTTGTTCAAGGTTAGTGCTGAGCTTTTTTTGGAGGTAAAGAGTTTTCTAGATTTTTCTACCCCAGGCTGGCCTTGAATCTTAGTTCTCAAATCTCAACCTCCTGATGTGTGAGCCACCAGTGTCCATCTTAATTGTCTTCTTGTGTCTTTGTTTTGCACTAAATGTTGTCCTTCTTTGCTAAGTTACCAGAGCATGGATGAGAAGTTCTCCACTTCAGAGTTTCCACACAAAATAGGTTCTTGAGATTGACTAAAGGATTTATTTTAGTATAACAATTAAAGTAGGGCAAAATAGGAATGAGACATTTTCTGCCACCAATGTAGGAAAGGAGAGCTAAAGACTCAAAATGGTGATTCTTATTTGTAACTCTTAAATTTTGAATTGAATGAATTAAGGTGGTTATATCAGATTCCTAATGCTTAGACAGCGGACATCCTTTTGCCAGATACATTCTTTCATTCTGTTTTTACCCATTCAAGAAGAGTTTCCAAAAGACATATTGAAGTAGCTTCTCTTGTCTCCTACTCATATAATTTAACAGTAAAGGAAAGGAGTGGGGGGAGGTCCTGGAATGGTAGGAGGGGAGCTGTCTGTTTTTCAGTTTATTTTCTGGTTTTATCTTTTGAATTTAGCTCTTCTCATACTCTTTTAAAGTAATTTCTTTCTGCTCATTCATTCTTCCTCATTTCCTCACTAAGCAACTTTGGTTCCTGATATATTGAAGAGAGTGTAGAGGGTTGGCAATCCATCTACTATGGCTGTTTTGTGCTGAGAGTGGACTATTGGCTCTGTCTGGAAAAAAGGAAGTAGAAGGTGACATGGGAAATAAGTAAACTATGTTTCCTCTATGGTTAGGTAATAGGTCAGATTTTTCAATGGAATCAAGAAACAGTAAAGAAAACAAAATCTGTAGACTTAAGATTTATATTGAATATACTTTCTGTTAGGTTTTTAAAAAGAGGTAGCCAAATAAGAACAGCACCACGCATGTGGTATTCAGGTAAGGGGTAGGTTTATTCAGTAGACCTGCTAGGACCAGGCCAGGTTGGGACTCCACACAGCTGGCAAAGAGGTCTGGCCCTGAGTTAGGCTTTATCTAGGGTAGGGGCGGGGAAAGGTGTGGCCAAGTAAAGGGAGGTGGGACCAGGTGGGAGAAAGGTATGGCCACATCAGATCCAGATGTGACCTCTTCCAGGTGTCCCAGTTGCCTAGGTAACACAGGTACTGGGCGGGGTCTGCTTGCCATCCAGAAATGGACCTTACACTTTTCTACTTATAGAAATGGCATACTAGGTTAATAGCTATAGTAAAAATGGCAGCCTACATATACACACAACATAATACATAATACACATATGTTCTGTTTTAGACCTTTAGGAGGTTAGGTCAGTTACTCTTTTTGTGCTGGTAGTAGAGCTTGAACACAGTTCCTTGTGCTCTCATTTGGCTTTTTTACTCAAGGCTGTTGACGCTACCACTTTTTTTCCACTTTTTGCCTTTTGCTGGTGAATCTCAAACTTTTCTGCTTGGGCTGCTGGAACGTTGATCCTCAGATCTCAGCCTCCAGAATACCTAGCTAGGATTATGGGCATGAACTACCAACTCCTGGCTAGTTGTTCTTTATGGAGGATTTGGTATTTTTTACTCCTTGCTGAATCTGGCTATTGTTGCTGTGGCTAGAGCTTCCTCCAGGAAGTTTATAATCAGGTCCTGGGTTCCCTCACAAAGGGGCTTTGTTATCCCAAGTGCACAAATCCAAATCCTATGGAATCCAGCTATTTAGAAAAGTTTTGTGCTGTTTCTTTAAGGTGGCCCTAGTACTAATTTTTTTTAAGGGCCAAAGTAGTTCTGGAATTACAGTGTAGCCAAGAAGTTTTGTGTTAGATCTTCCTTAGATCTTCTTTTGTTAGGATATTTATGCATTTTGGTGATCCAGCATCCTATAGACTCCTAAGAATTTGGAGTTAGGCTCTATGATTTAAAGTTAAGGACCTTAATTTCCTTGATGTTCCAGTAGGTTTAGGATCCGACACAATACACTGATAGTTTTTTTATTACAATTTTATTCATTTCCTTGGTTATTTTTTAAAGCAGATTTAATGTTCCCTCCTCCTTGCAAAATGGAACCAAGGCTGTAATAGTTGAACACAGGTACATGTTATAGTAGTTTTCTGTGAGTAATACTAAATGCCTTAAAGAAGGATCCAAACTGGTAAGAAAAACCAAAAAACAAACCCCTTTGAATATAAAAATTGCTGTGAATCTTTTGATCTTTGCGATTTATCTATATTGGTTACCTGTAGCCAGTGTCCTTTAGAAGGAGACCCAAGCAAGGGAGTTAAGGCAGAAAATTGAGCCCATTAAAATTATTAAATGAGTTATTAAAATCGATCCTTTAAAAGCTATGTTGACATACCCAAGGTTCCTAAATAAGACACTAGAAGTTTGACTATTTGGGATCTTGAAAAGTGGAAGATCCCTTTAATTTCTCAGGGACTACCATTTTGGAGGTGGATATCCCTCACCCACTGGAGAAAGGACTAGTTTTTTCTACATGTGTCCCTTAATGGCAGAGACAGTATGTCCCTGGATAGCATGGCTCCTTCTTAGGGTATTCTGCTTTCCAATGACCTGTTTTTCGGCATTCATAACCTTTCCCTTTTGGAATATGGAATCACCCTGCTTGAGAGTTTTCCCAGGTTCTTCTGACCTTTCTTAAGTCTTATTTTCATGAAATCTGGGTGTTGAGAACTTCAAAGGCCAGATTTGCCAGTTCTTTTAAGTGGAGTCTGGCGACCCTTTTTTTGTTTTTTTAAAATAGTTTATTGGTATCTGCAGCTGACTGGATAAAAGACATCCCCAGAAGTATTACTTCCTTTCATGGATTCTGGGCTACTAGTTTGTTGTTGTTGCTGCTTTTGTTTTTGTTTTAGGGCCCCTAGAAATAGGATAGGGTTCTTACCCTTACCTAAGTGACATACCTTTATCATGATTAGTAGCCTTGTGCATTGGTTGCTTTATTCTTTAAATTAAGCAACTCATCATAAAAGTTTACTTGATGTTCCCAAAGATGGCTGCAATTTGGTTTATCATTGGGAATGGCAATATTACTCAGCATTTTATCCTACGGCACATGTTTTCTCTCATATGTGGAAGCTATATCTAAAATAAACCAGAACAATTACACAGGTGTCTAGGCATTCACACATGTTGAATGAGACCTTCTCTTAAGGACACAAGGGCACAATGCCTGTGTGTGTCTTACCACACAAAATATATTCCCTTATTGAAATGAACTCTAGGAAATGAAAATGAGGTTCTTTTTCTTGGCTGTTGTTTTTGTTTTCCTTTTACCTTGTTCGTGTGTGTGTGTGTGTGTGTGTGTGTGTGTGTGTGTATGTGCCTTTGGGAATGAGGGAGGTACAGAAATGGAGGAATAAAGGATAAATAAATGTAGTAGTGGTACATAGCAGACACTACATTGAAAATGAACTATACAACTTATTGGTGGGGAAGAGGGGGAAAAACTTGGAGAAGAGGGGAAGGGATGACATTGTTTAAAAACATGTACTCTTTACCTGACTTACGAAACTGTAACCTCTGTACATTGCTTTTATAATAACAATAAAAAATTTAAAAAATGACAATACGGATGCTAATTTTCAAACTTGGGGCAGTTGATTTATTTTGATTGTCTTTATATTGAATGCTTACCCTTGTTGTTGTTGTTACTTCTAATAGTTACTTGTTTGATGATGGGATTTCCATATAGTAACCTGATTATGTAATTTAAAATGTGTATATAACAACTAATAAAAAGTATATATTTGAATATATGGATATATTAAATATGTAAAGTATAATTTCTCATGTTTTATTTATAATTTTAGTATCTGCATGGATTTTTTTTTTCCTCCTCATCCTGGGGCTTGAACTAAGGGCCTGGGTGCTGTCCCTAAGCTTTCTTGCTTCAGGCTACCATTCTACCACTTGCCTCACAGCTTCATTTCCAGCTTTTTGTTGTTATTGCTTAATTAGAGATAAGTGTCTCATGGACTTTCCTGCCCTGTTAGTTTGCTTTTAAACTTGATATATTATGGTGTTTCTTTTGTTGTTTTTGTTTTCTTTTTAAGTACATTTGATTTTTTTGATAGACTCTGTGTATATAACCCAGGCTGGCCTCAATCTTGTGCTCTTTATGTCTCAGCCTAATGGGTGCTTGAATTATAGGTGTGTGCCACCAAGCTGGGCTTCCTAGTTACTTTTAAAGTGAATATTAAATAATATGTATGACATTAAATAAGATATAGATGTAGGACATATAATACATTTTCAGAAGTGATATGAGATTAAAATTTTGGGGGATTCAATTTACTGCCTCTGTCTTTAATTCACTTTGGCCTTCTCTCAATCCTCCCAGCACACACTGGCATTGATTACTATATACTTGCTAGGCAGTACTCTTGGGCCACACTTTTAATACACTTAATACACTTAATTATGCCCTCTTACCTGAAAGATACCTGTAACCTTAAATTAGATTCCCTTTATTTTGTACCTTTGTAGTTGAAATTACTGCTTCCTGATCACTGTGATTCTCACAGCTACATGATTCTTACGGTGTTAACATCATTCTTAGCATCTGTCTTGGAGCTTTTCTGTTTTTTTTAAATTAAATATCTAAAAGTCATTTATTAGAATGTTTAAAAAATTACTTAGAAGATAAATTTCACTGAATTTATACTTTAAGACTGAACAATATTTATGTAACTATTAGGACTATGCTACAAATTGAAGAAATTTTTTTTTAACTAAGGCTGAAATGTGCTTTTTTGTTTTGTTTTCTTGAGTTTTAAGACGGGGTCTCACTGACTTGTAGCTCATACTGACTTTGAACTTGAGATCCATTGTCTTCATCAGGTGGAATTACAGACCCAATGTGTGCCACCATGCGCTGTTACTGAAATGTGGTTCACGTGCCTATACTTGTATGCTAGGAGGCTAAGATCTGAGGATCATGGTTCAAAGCCAGTGAAGTCCCTGACACTCAACTCTAATCCCTTCCCTCCTTTCCATCCCCTCTCCTCCCCCCCAAAAAAAGTAGAACTGTGTACACCTCTTGTATAGAATGCTCAGTGTAGAGCACTATGCTCAGTGTAGAGCACTAGCCTTGAACAAAAGAAGCTCAGGGACAGTAGCCTAGTTCTGAGTTCAAGCCCCAGGAACACCACAGAATAAAAGGAAGAAAAATCCCTAGCCATCTTAATACCTCTTCCCTCCTCCTTAAAATAATCCCTCCTGTTGTTAAATTTAACAAACAAATAGTTTGGGTTAATCCTTTGGTTTAGTTTAATTATTGATGACTAAATACTTGCTGTGCCAGTAGTTCTCTATTTTTGTATCATATAAGTATTCTTATTCTTTCAGTGATATATCTCTTAATTGTCAGGAGATAATCCTGAGTACACAGACCCTGTGTGGAAATTTAGATTCAAGTAGAAACTGGTTTAAAATGAGGGTTTTTTTTTCATGTTAAAATTAAATTGTAGCACAAATATGGCAATATTTGACCATTTTAGATTATAGATTTCAGTTCTCTTGAAGTTTACTAGATATAAGTTGCTATGTGTATTAGAAAAGTTTTTCGAATTATGTATTATGGTTAGATTTGTGCTGGAATATTAAGTATTGATTACTGAGGACATTGGGGTTTTTTGGTTTTGTTTTTCTTTTTTACAGGGCATGGTTCCATTTGTATTTGTTGGCACTAAAGAAAGTATTGGAAATGTGCAAGTTCTCTTAGAGTATCATATTGCCTACCTAAAGGTTTGTATATAATTTACATTATATTTTCCACTAATCATTGCCACATTACTACATAAATGTTGTATATTAGCACTGGCAATGTGGTTCAGTGGTGAAGTGTTTACCTCTCAACAACTGCAAGATCCTGGGTTCAATCCACAGTACCAAAAATATTAAAAATAAGCAAGATGGTAGGGGTACTGGAGTGGCTTATTGGTAGACCTGCTTAAGCAAGTATGAGGCTGGGAGTTCAGTCACCAGCACTACAAAAGAAAAAAACTGCACATTTACAGCAAACATAAGATGCTCTCACATTAGACATTTTATTTTTGTCTACATTTCTATGAAATACTTTTGCCCAGTTTTTGTCACATGAGAATTTAATAGTAAAATGTCTTTTGCTATAATTAAATGACCTCATGCATTGTTTTTTCTCAGCATTTAAGTTTTCCTTATTGTTTAAGAAATGGTAACTTTCGTCTTTATAGGATTTGTTATCATTAAAATATGTTGTGTATTAGAGCCATTTTGTTTCTACTTTCATATTTTACATGCATATAGAGTACACAAATGAAGTTTGGTTACCGTGGTAAACTTTGGTATTATCTCAGTCATCTGTACTGCCTCCCATATCGGCATCATTGTATTATATGTGTGTGTACGCATGCACAGACATGTTTCTAGAAGCAAGACTCAAAACTAGAGCCTGTACATGGGGAACATGCTACTATACCACTGAGGTACATTGCCAGTTCTCATTTGCTTATTTTTCTTTCTATTGTACTGAGGCTTGACGACTCAGCCTTGTGCCCCTGCCTACCTATTTCCATTGAGGCTGATGCTCTACCACACGAGTCTACTTTAAAGCTTTTTGCTAAGTGGACATCGGCATTTCCCAGAATTGTTTGTCTGGACTGGTTTTGAACTACAGTCCTCAGATCTTAGCCTCCTAAATAGCTAGGATTATAGGAATAGGGATGAGCCACCAAAGCCCAGCTTTCATTTACTAATTGTTAATACATAAACAAGTGTTTTAGGGAAAAAAGTCCTGTAAACTTGTAAACGTTGTGATTGATACTTTATATAGTGTCTTTGTTTCTGCTTTGTTTCCTTGTTTAGAGTGTCTTCAACTGTTTGCTACTTTTTACTTTTTGTAAAAGTAAAATCATGTCTTTGCTGTTGTGCTATTATGAAAGACCCCCCAATATCATTTCTTGAAACTCAGTTTTCTATAACAAGTCTCAATTCAAGTGCAGTACTTTACTTTTCAATCAAGACCTTTGTCAAAACATCTTACCTTTACATCTTCCAGTGACCTGAGCTTTTTTTTTTTTTTTGAGCTTTTTTTTTTTTTACTCCTAATCCCAGGCTTTAAGTGCTTTCTTTTCCTCACCCCCACTCATAGTTGGCACTGTATCACTTGAGACATACCTAAAGTCCAACTTTTTATTCTGCTGGTTATTTGGAGACAGTGTTGAATACTTCTCTGCCTGGGGTGGCATCCAACTGCAATCCTTAGATCTTAGCCGTTTGAGTATAGCTAGATTATAGGTGTCACTCATTGGCACTCTTCTAACCTCAGTTTTTAAATAATAAAGTATGTCTATGTTGCTCACAAGTTAGGGAACACTACTTTGATAGTAAAGCAGCTTTTATTAATACTTTTCAAGATGATACTTGAACATCATTTAGCAGAGTTGTAACCCTTTGAGGAACAAAGTCTGCTATTGCTATGTAATTAGTAGTTATTTTAATAAGTTATTTAACATTGTTTGAAACATTTTCTAAAGGCTACAGTTGTGTTTCTTCTAAATTTTTTACTTATGTAAGTTGTTTGGCATATTTCTAAGATGTTCAGTAAATATAGTTGAATTAAATCAGCAAATGATCATGTGAACTATGTTAGGAACACGGTGCTGCTTTCCCAAGCAGTTTTATAAGTCACAGATTCTTTCTTTGGTGGTTCATCCAGTTGTAGCTTTAAGTTAAAAAAAAAAAATCATTAAACAAAGAAGGCAAACCTTTTTGTTTTGATTGTAGGAAGTGGAACAGCTAAGAATGGAACGCTTGCAGATAGATGAACAACTTCGACAGATTGGTATGGGTTTCAGACCTTCTTCCACCAGAGGGCCTGAAAAAGAGAAAGGATATGCCACTGATGAAAGTACCGTCTCTTCTGTACAAGGTTCTAGGTCTTATAGTGGAAGAGGCAGAGGTCGTCGGGGCCCTAATTACACCTCCGGTTATGGTAAAAAATAAAATAAAATTATTTTTGTAGTAGTGTAGTTTATGTACTTCCATAGATTTTTTGTTTTATAAGTAATAAACTCATTGTTCTTAATTGGCTCTGGGGTACATGTCCTAATGGTGATGATATACTTTGTTAATGACAATAAAAGGTACATAGCTTTTGAACAATTAGGCATATTAAGTTAGTACATAATCATGTTTGTTTTAAATATTTAGGAGGTTGAATGTTCACCATCTTGTTTTTTCCAAATAATTCTCTATAATACAGATTTTGAACATTTCCCCAATAAAACCTAGAACTGGTGGTGCTACTGGTTGAAATATACCCTGTTAGCAAAGTAAAAATGAAAATATGAAAGTCACTAGAACAGGATGATTATGTATAACAAATCTTTAGTAACTGGAAGCAGGTTCAGATTATAGAGCACTTGCCTAGCAAGTAAGTACAAGGTCCTGAGTACTAAATTCAGAACCATTTTACTACTGATTCTTTACTGGAAGACTTGACTATTATTATTAACATTGTACTTTTGGAATTTTTTTTTAGATGACAGCATTTAATGAAGCCTTTATAAAAGCCAACCTAATTAACATAAATACATTTTTTGTGGTATGCTGGTCCTGAGGCTTGAACTCAGTGCTTGGGTGCTGTCTTTTGGCTTTTCTGCCAAAAGTTAGTGCTCTGCTACTTGAACACAGTTGTGCTTCTTTCTTTTGAGTGGTTTATTGGAATAAAAGTCTCACAGCTTCAAAATGTGATGCTCAGATCTCAGCCTTCTGAATAGATAAAATTACACTAGCACCTTGCAATAAACTTAATAAAAAGTGTTTCACTGTGAAGATGGGTCTTAACTTGAGTAGAATGGGTAGAGTGGTGGTAGTAATAATCCTAAAATCCACATTTGGAGTTGGATCTTTTCAGTGACCTGATTTTGGGGACGGGGCCATTTTCATGATCACTTTGTGTACTCTGGCTTCTGCTACTTCTGTGCATCCTGTTTTGGGAAAGTATTCATTAATCTATTCCAAAATAGATGTAAAGGAAATAGAAATAAACGCAAGATTCTAGTATATAAATTCTTGATTTAAGTTTTGTGTTTGTAGAATCATCTAATGTTGCTAGATGTATGAAAATTCCACTACTTGTTGTAGATGTAGAAGGTTGTATCTCCATGTTCACATTCTTTTGATGTATTTTAGTAAATCCTGTAAAGAATTGAGAGTTGAAGCTATTACTCTATTCCTGGAAGCCTATTAATACAAATAAACAAATTCAATATATTTTAATCTAATGTTTCAAAGCCTAAATGCCTAAATTGTTAGCTCAGATAGTCAAACATGGCTCTTTGAATGAAGAGAATGGTTATTAGAACACTTTTATTCCTCTTTGTGAGGAAAGGTCTCCTTGTTGATGAGTGGCAAAGTGCTTTTGTGAAGAATAAGATAATTTGTGGAATAAAAACAGCAGCCTCATCTAGATTTTCCATAAAGTGTACAAATTGTTCAGTAGATGGCACTCTTACCTTTATAGAACTATTCTTGAAACAGGTTGAGTGGGCTTGAGAGGGAAAAACCATCTTAATTTATAGATATTCTTGAATACTTTGTTTCAGAAGGATTTTTTTAAGGTAGTAATAATAATAACCCCATATACACATGCATACTACTGTGCCCAAGTTTAAGGGTCAAGAAAGGATCTTCTTGTCTTTCTTCCCAGACTGGCCTTGAAATTCTGTTGTCAGCTTCCCAATGAGCTAAGATTACAGGCATGAGCCCCCTTTTTTGTTTGTTTGTTTGGCTGTCTGTCTCAGGGTTTGAACTTAGGGCATTGGGGTGCTGTCCTGCCTGATGTGTGTTTTTTTTTCTAACACATTTGAACCACAGCTCTCCTGGTTTTTTGGTGATGGGTCTGACAGACTTTCCTGCTTGGGACTTCAAACCTCAATCCATCTCAGCCTCCTGAGTAGCAAGGATTGAGTTTGAGCCACCGGCGCCTGGCCTACCACTGCCTTTACATTGTACTTTAATGTAGGAACATCTTTTTTTGTCTTCATAGTCACATTTTAGCGAATTTAAATACAAGAAACTTCTAGGTATTTTGTGAACGGAGTTCTGTCTTTTACCATATACGATTTTGTACTAATTCTTTCAGAGAAACTTTAACAGAAAACATCGTATAGATGCTTTTAATGAAATAAGGAGGGCTGGAGCCTGTTTTTAAATTGGTCTGATGCTAGGGATTTGACAGACTGAAGGAAATATATTTGGATATACGATAAAGTGACATGCCAAAAGCCATGAACAACAGGAATATGAAAATGAACATTATAATGATTGTGTCTGACTTGATTGTAATACAACAGTGATATTGTAGACTTTCTGTGAAATCTTTGGAAGTGCTTAAATTTTTGAAAGGTCTCTTAAGATAAGTTGTAGGAGTTACAAATGGTCTGTAAGTTTTGAAGTCAGGTAGAATTTATTCTCTGGTCATGGCTTTACTTCTAGTAGTTGTCAGGTCTTCTCAAGACTTTAAAAATTATTGAATAATTTCCAATATCTTATTCTAATTCTGACAGTACTAAAATGTGCTGTTATTTTATGTACAATAATAAAGTAGTATGATAGACTTGATTAATTTGTTTTAAATTATTGGATAACAGTTGTATATATCATCCATAATCTAGATTAAAAACCTAAAAACAGACAAATTTTAGTATTATCTCTCCATAGAAGTGCAATTTGGTAGTAATTCTACTGATCTTGACTACTAGATATTTTACTACTACTACCATCTTAACACTTACTATTTCAGTTATTAATTCCAAGTTTAATTTCCATTTTGCTTTCCAAGATGCAGACAGCATGCTTACTTAATTTGTAAGGAAGTAGCACTGTGTCTCAAGTGCTAGAGGGCTAGCCTTTAGCTGAAGAGCTCAGGGACAGCGCATAGGCCCAGAGTTCAAGCCCCATGACTAACAAAAAATAGTAATAATAATTTGTAAAAAATATATTTAAAAACTTTTAAGCACTTTTTAAACAAGAAGCTTCTAATTGGCTTATTTTTCATTTTTCAAGGTACAAATTCTGAGCTGTCTAACCCCTCTGAAACAGAATCTGAACGCAAAGATGAGCTGAGTGATTGGTCATTGGCGGGAGAAGATGATCGAGAGAGCCGACATCAGCGTGACAGCAGGAGACGCCCAGGAGGACGAGGCAGAAGTGTGTCAGGGGGTCGAGGTCGAGGTGGACCACGTGGTGGCAAATCCTCCATCAGTTCTGGTAGCCTTTCATATGTCTGCATTTGTTCCTTCTAACCAGTGTATCTGTACAAAAGTTAATTTATTACTTACGGAGACCCAATTTGGAAAGTTTGTCTTTCCATGTTTTCTGGAGAAAATAGTGGCTTTATAAAGCAATTAGTACAGGGAAAACAGACTTTTTTAGGTTAGAACTTTTGCGTGGTGTATGTCTTTCAGTTTTGAAGGGTTCGTGTAATTAGAATTTTTTTTATTTTCCCTAGAACATTTGAGTTATGTATTTCTGTTTGCCAGACATATTCAGTGTATTTTATGCACAGAGAAATCTTAAATTCTTTCATGTATTAATTTGAAAAACTGAGCAGCATTTGTGATATGCTAGGTACTACTTGGAGAACAGAAAAAGGGTAGAATCAGCTCTTAAAGAAAATTTTACTGAGGAATTGAGCTGTAAAGAAGAGTACTCCAATGACAAAAGACTTGAGATTTACAAGCAACTTTTAGCATCATTTTAGAATTTTCACAATGCTTGACTGGTGTTATTAGAATGTTTTCTGAGCAGAATAGGATTTAGGGGAGATGGACTAGATTATTTCAAGGGTATAACTAACATTTTTATATCCCTTTAAGAAAACTGCACTTTCTTAATGACATACCTGCCTTTTCAATAGCATATATTGTAAGTATTATATGAAATTAGTGTGTAGACACTAAATATATGGGATATATACATAAAACATGAATGGCAACAATTGAGCACAAAAATGAATTTTTGTAAGATTCTTTTTCTTTCATTTGCTTGCTTTGGGTCTTTAGTCTTGAGAACTTTTAGAAAAGTAGTTTTAATATTTGAATACATTGCACACTTTTATATTCTGTATTGTCAAATAAATGATTAGGTGAGTGATAATTTTGTTATAGGCAGTAAATGAACCTAGTTCGAATTAGTATAAGTATTTTGTGTTAAATTTTGCAACTTCCTTTTCTACCTTTACCCCAACTTCACACTTTGTTTCTAGAGTTGGAGAAAACAGAATTTATTTATTTTTTAAATAAATTTTTTATTGTGAAAATACCATATTGAGGGGTTACAATTACATGAGCAAGGTAATGAGTACATTTCTTACCAAGCATTGTTGCTTCCTCCTTTGTTTTTCCCCTTACCATTCCTTCCCTCCCATCTCCATGATTACACCCACACCCCCCGCCAAAATTGTAAAGTTCGTTTTTTGACATAGCATCTCTACCCATTGCAACAATGAAATCAGTATTTATTTGTTTTTTCTTTCGATTACCATTTAGAATTTGAATTATAGCTTGCTGCTTGTGTGGACAATCATTTCATTGATTTCTCCTGAGTGCAGGTGTTGAGTATTGTTTGGAAGTAATCCATTAATATATACAATAGTATCAGCCATCACTTTGAAATCCATAAAAGGCACTAAAAGCTTTCTTAGAGTTAATTCATTATAGCTGAATATTCTCTTTGTATTTTTCTAGTCTCTGTAGGATTGTCTTAGGATGTGAATCTTAAAATTTTTATTTGTATTCTGTTTCTGCAATATAATCATCTCTCATTACCCATGGTAGATTGGTTTTAGGACCTCTCTCAGATTAAAAAAATCCAAAGATACTTGAAGTCCTTTATATAAGATGATATAATATTTGCATATTATGTGTACATCTTGTTTATATTCAGGGATAGGGAATGTCTGGCGTGCAAAATCATTAGTTCTGTTCCTGCCAACGCAAACCACACTTGGGTTTGAAATACAATCAATCTTAGGAGCTTTTTTTTTTTTAATAGTAATTTATATAAACATCAGTACTGGCTAACATCACATGCCAAAATAGTCTTGGCAGCAAAAATTGTTTCCCAGTCTTGCTTTAAATCAACTCTAGTTTTTCTTAATACCCATTAAAGTATAAATGCTATGTAAGTAGTTATACTATATTTAATGAATAGTGACCAAAAGAATGTACATAATTAGTACAATATCTTAATCAATTTTGCCATCTTATTGGTTGAACCCTGTAGATACAAAGAGAACTGTTTTTAAAACAATTCAAAGGAAATGTTAGGAAGCTGTCTGCTCATCTTTTGCTTTATAATTTTTCATCACCATTTAAATTTTTATATTTATCCATCTTCATTATTTTCCAGGTAAAATAGTGATACAGAAACTTTTTTATTTGAAAACTATATTTTTATTGGGGAAAATTGATGTTTATCATTAATTGATGTGGTTCATTATAGAACAAAATATTAACAGCTACAGTTCTCTTAAACAAATATTTCTTGCTTCTGACATGAATATAGTGCTCAAAGATCCAGACAGCAATCCATACAGCTTACTTGATAATACAGAATCAGATCAGACTGCAGACACTGATGCCAGCGAATCTCATCACAGTACTAACCGTCGTAGGCGGTCTCGTAGACGAAGGACTGATGAAGATGCTGTTCTGATGGATGGAATGACTGAATCTGATACAGCCTCAGTTAATGAAAATGGGCTAGGTATGTAAGCACTTAGGGAACAGGGTGTATGTATGTGTGTGTGTGTGTGTGTGTGTGTGTGTATGTATGTATATGTATATGTATGTGTGTGTGTTAAATTACACTGTTAATGTATGAACTTTTTTCAAAAAAATGTATGCGGCTCACAAAGTGTTAACTTCAGTGAAACTAGATAGCTTTTTGTCTGTCTAGTTTTCACATTTGTTAAATTATTTGAAACTGGGTTTATTACATTACTTTTGATGCCACTAAATATAGTGCAAGTATTCAACTCTATTGTCCCCAAACCAGAATTGAGCTATTACTTTGTCTTTCTAAAAAGTATTTTAAATGACCTTAGTGGGAAGATATGTAAATCATAACTGAGCATTAATTTCCAATGGGTTAAAATGTCCTTTGTTGAAAAACTATATTGGAGAGAAACTATCTCTGAATGAATTTTTAAGTAGTAATTTAAGTCTGGGAGATAGTTTAACATAGCCAAAACCCTCTTAATTTCCAGATGAGAATTCCATTTTTAATCTATTTGGAATGCTTAAAAGCTACAAAAGTATCTATGCTGTGAGTACTGTATGTTTAATCTTTGATGTTTAAATCTTTCTCCTTACTCTTTAAATAAGGAAAGTTGTTTTATGTTACTGTTTTTTTTTGTTTTGTTTTTTGTTTTTACCTTTTTTGTTTGTTTTTTTGTCAGAATAGTTCATGGTAAACTTTGCCCTTACAGATGATAGTGAAAAAAAACCCCAGCGACGCAATCGTAGCCGCAGGCGTCGTTTCAGGGGTCAGGCAGAAGATAGACAGCCAGGTAACTAGAGTGGACCTGTTGATACCAGGTCACAAGCATGAAAAAAATGTCATGTGTCTGCATTCTAAATATATTTACATGTTCACATGTGTGCATATATATTCAAAATTGGTGTTGCATAAATTGTTTATTTAACTAATAAGACTACTAAAGAAAAATTCATTCTTTCCCCACAGTGTGAATGTTGAGTAACTGGTCTAAGTGGACTAATTTTACGTTTGTTTTTTTAACGTGGAAGTATTGTTAAGACCATAATTTTATTCACTTGGGAGGTTCATCACACTTGAGATGGATCCTGCCATCCCAGGGACTTATGTTGTAGAATGTGATTGAGGTTGATTGACCTAAGTAGGTAGCTTTTGCATGGTGCCTGCTTACTGGATTTAACACCTCATTTTTGTGGGGATTTTCATACTCACAGCTTATAAAACAAATAAAAAAAGGAAAAATACTTAAGTGTCCTTTTCCTAATAAGAGGATGCATGTTATGTTTTTATTGTAGTGTGCTCCCTTTTCCTTCACACCTACTAACTAATCAGATTAATAGTATTTATTTAGTTTCAGAGTACTAACTTTATTTAGCCAATAACTTTTAGTAACTGGAAAGAAAATTGTTTGTTGTGTACATTTTGAACCTAATCTCATCTCCTGAGTATAGAAATTTACATGTATATTCACTATGGAGAAATTGTGTTCACTAGAAATAAACCCTTTTCAAACTAATCAATTTTTGCATTCTTTCCAAAGCAAATCTTTCCATGTATTTCCCTCAGTGTGTAAATTCTAGCATCTTTAGAACTGGGTTAAATACATTTGGGACAGCTGGTTAATGTATTCCCATTTCAGGAAGTTCTTGTTTTAAAGATAGGTAGAAACTTTTTAAGAAAACAAAACTATCAGAAAAATAGAGTGTCCAGAAAGTATTTTCTTTTCCTGTTTCTAGTCTCTCCCCTCCTATGGTAGTGTTAGAAACACTGAGGAAAAACTATTTTGTATTTTGGATGTGGCACAGCAGTGAATAATTTTTCGGGCCTGTATAAATAGGTAAATTCAGGCTATTAACATGAGCTTAACACAGAATAATGGCATACAATACAACATAATTTAATATACTAATAATTAAATGTATTAATATAAGACATAATCTAATTAGGTAAATGGTCAAGTCACAAGTCATAAAAGGACCAAAATAGTAGGGTTTCTTGTAGAAGACGCAGATACTTCGTATTGATTGAAAAGACTGTTTTAGAGTTTTCAACAATTTGACAGTTATTGTGATGCATACTGCATCTGTTACTCTTTTACTCTATTCTTATATATTATTACATTTCCTTCGCTAAAATGTCTTACATTCCCTAGTGCTTCCCCTTGCCCTACAAAATGATAGGAACACAGAGTGAATAAAGACTGTTTCTGACTTCAGGTCAAAAGGAGGCAGCCTCCACCTAAAGTTAATAATCAAAATTCTCTTACAAATATAATTTCATTCTCATTTGCTTCAAATTTCTTGTTCTTAGTACAAATTACTTATTGAGGGGACTTAAACTTTGTAAGTACAGTGTTATTTTTTCCTGGGCCCCACTGAGGATATTCTAAAGTCTAAATTATCTTTCACAAATTGTCTGTTTTTCCTAGATGTTGTAAAGTATTGAATAAGAGGCATGTATGACCATAAACAGGTTTTTATTTAGATTAACTGAAATCTAATTGGCTTCCTTTAATTTAGAGATAATTCTAATTGATAAAATTATGTAAATACATATTGTTTGTATAATAGATTATAATAGATGATAGGATCTAAGAATTGCTTGGACACATACTAAAATTTAGCAGGATTTTCAAGTAGAAGAATTTTTCTCAGTATCAATGAGGTCTGAACTATGGAAACAGAAAACATATACTACTGCTCCCCAAAGTAGTGAGAATCATTCTCAAAATGGCTGTCAACATATAGGTAGATTTAATAATTAGGTAGATTATGATAATATATCCCCTTTCCAATACTGTTTACTATTAAATAATTTAAAATTACTTAGTATTGAAATTAAATGACAAAATTTTAAATTACTTTTTAAATATTTTAAAATATTTTAAAATACTTTTAAAATATTTTAAAATGTACATGCCAACTTTCCTACAACTTGAAAAGAAAGTACCAGCTTTAAAAAGACTAAATATCTCTAGTAGTTTTTTTAATAACCATGTAAGTCCTGATACAAATTTCCCTATGATTTTTAAGATTCATTTACATAAATAGTTCTTTAAAAGTTCTTGATTATGAATGTTAGCACATTTATAATTCAAAATGAATTGTAGCTGCTAGCCAGTTTATTATGCAAATGGTTGGCTCCATATAAATTAAATTTACAGAATGAATTTTCCCAAGACTTAATGATTTGAACTTAAAATTTACTTGTTTTCTTTTATACAATTAATTTAAAATACATACTGAATTTTTAATAGGGATCTTAAATAGTTTGAGTAGAATATAATAACAAGGAGGGGGGGAGATGGTTATTTTGCTATTTCCTCAGATTAGGGATTCTAGGTTTCAGATTTTGAGACTTATTAACAATACCTTATTTATTTATTGTATTTGTGTTAACAGTGGGAAGTTACTTGGGCTAGTCCTTTCCCTAATCTATTATCTTCTAAAAACACATTTAAACCTGTCCTTAAAGCTGCACTAGTGGATGGTCATTGAAGTCACTCTGGCCCTTTTTGTACTCTTACCATACCTGCATCTTTAGGGTGGTACTATGTGCTTACTTTAAGTCACAAAATCAAATGGTTAAATCAGAATGGTTTCTATCATGTAACATTAAGGAGGAATCACAAGTTGTGCTGTTATTTTTCACTTAAAAATTATAAGCAAGTCTTTGAAATTTTCAAATTTAATTATCACATTGTGACTTGGATCACATTTGTTCCATTTTCCCCACTTATAATAATACATACTTGTTTGGACATAGAACCTGGCACCTACCATTTTTTGTTTGTGGGTGTTTTTTTTTGTTGTTGTTGTTTTTTAAAAATAATAGTCCTACAACCTTAGTCTTATCCTGGACTCTTGGAAAGAGGACTTGAATTTAGATTTCCTTGTTTCTCCAGCTTGAATTTTTCTATTGCCAACACTAAAATCATAGGCAAAGTTTTTTCCAGGCTTTTTGGTTGGAGGCGATACCCAACTTAAATTTTGAATTTGGGTGACCTACCATTTGTTTAATAGTGAAATTACTCTTTATCCATAAACTTTAGAAATATTTTTTCAACACCTGTAATTTTTTTCTCATCTTTAACAGTCACAGTTGCAGATTATATTTCTAGAGCTGAGTCTCAGAGCAGACAAAGAAACCTCCCAAGGGAAACTTTGGCTAAAAACAAGAAAGAAATGGTAAGGAGAATTTAACCTGTAGGGTTTTCTTTTTATTTCCTTTTTATGTTTTTATTTTTCTGGTATAATTTAGATTTATTTTTTACTTCTTTAATGTATGATCACTTGTTTTCCAAAATAGACAAGTATTATTTAGTTAAGAAGATTTTGTTCCTGGACACAGATGTCTGAAGATATGCATGCTTGAGACTGAAAATCCTTTTTGGATAGAACTTTAGCATTTGTAAAATTCAGTCTTAACTATACTGCGTATAGATAGCTTAATTTTGTAAGCTGAAGGCTCTATATACATTTTCTCAATAGTGGATCTTTTAAATTTTAATTTTTTAAATACTTTTAGGATTTTATATATGAGTTCAGGGGGGAAAAGGTGAGTAAAGTAGGTAATTGTTTTATTTAGATACTTTATTGTTTCAGTTACATGGAGTTTTCTGTTGGTTCTAGTGGTTTCATTAAATATTACAGATGCTATGGTTTATGCATTCCTAGAGATAGAGTTGAGAGATCCCCCCCAAAATGGAGTACTTTGGTAATTATTTAAAAATTTAAAAACGTGTTAATTTTTTAAATTCTAGTGGCATATGAAATTGAAATTTTCTAAGTTAATGTTTATGTAGCTGTTTTCCTCCTCAGCTGTAGATTGCATTTATAAAGAAGTTGAAAAAGCTGTCTCCCTTTGGCAGGCAAAAGATGTGATTGAAGAGCATGGTCCTTCAGAAAAGGCAATAAATGGCCCAACTAGTGCTTCTGGCGATGAAATTCCTAAACTACAACGTACTCCAGGAGAAGAGAAGATTAATACCTTAAAAGAGGAAAATACCCAAGAAGCAGCAGTCCTGAATGGTGTTTCATAAACTGAAGAAGTTCCTAGTTTACAGTTCTCTTACATTACATTTACAATAGTGCTTGTACAAGCTTGCCAAAGATAGAATATGGATCGCCAGTCTTTACATCGTACTTTCAGTTCCTCCATTTGGAATTCAGAAAGGGGAGGGATCCTGAAGAAATCATATGTTAAACATACTTTGACACCTACTGTGTTAAAACTATATCATCAGATGTGCCTTGAGAATAGTATATGTAACATTAAAAAAAGTTGCTGGCTATAGGAAATGTTATTTTGTTTTCAAAATATGGCAGAGATGGGGGGAGGTGGGTGGGGGTGGGATCCCTAACACAATATTCTTTATGAAAGCATTAGCTGCTTTTGTTACATTTTTAATAATATGCAACCACTTCTTCACCTGAGGAAAACTAGAATGAAATGCAGTCTGAAATATTTTGCACTGAATTGTAATTTCTTCATTAGTTTAGTCTGGAAACTGGTCTGTTTTACAATGTGTTTTTTAAATGCTGTATGAAGAGGAAAAACTGCAGACCACTGGAATACATTTGTTAACTCATCTGCAGGGACACTGGGTGATATTGGCAGTGACTGTTCTACATTGAGGCTTTGTTTGGTTTATTTATTAAAGTGTACAGTATTTAAAATCAAACATAGCTTTAGTTAAAACACTAAGCTCTGATTAGTCATGTCCATTCAGACTTAACCTAAACTACTGAAAAAAGATCGTTTTCCAGAAAGTTTATTCTGTATAAACTACATGTTAGTCTATTCAGTAGAGTATCTTTCACTTTTCCTTTTCCTTTTTTAAATTTTTTTTTAATTTTGGTTGTTTGATGTGCAATATGTTTTTGTATGCAGGTAGTAAATAAACTTTGATCTTCCATTTGCTGATTTTTAACTTTCTACTTTTTATGCCAATTATTACAAAGTAGTTGGACCTACTTAGAGGCACAGAATAGTTTCATTGATTGCTTTTAAAAAGCATCTATTCTTATACCTCAAATTAAAATGTTTAGTGGACCATTTAATCATTTTGTAATGAATGCTCTGCAATGTTTAATACGTTAGGTTGTTAGAATAGGGGGTAGGGAATTTATAATAACATTTACTAGAAAAATTTGTATCAAATTCTAATCACTAGCAAATTGTAGATGAAGTAGAAGCTTTGCCTTAATTTCCTTTATCAAAATTATTTTTAAAGTACAATAAGCAATTTTTAATTTATCAATAAGGTACTTTATGATTTCACAAGGAAATGTGAAGGTCTCCTATCAGTGATTGAAATGGATAATTAAGATATTTTAAAGTATGAGGTCAAATAAATGTGGGACTCCAGTATTTTATGGACCACTGAAAAGAAAGAATATAGCTCTTCAGTATCTGAAAATGTTATGCACATTAGTAAATTGTTTATAGTAACCATTTATAACAAAAAGGATAATGTAGTATGTAGTTACAAATGTAAAAGATCATATATGCATAGCTCTAATCATATGTATGTGTGTGTTAATATATAGAAAGGAGGGATTAAATGCTGGTAGTTATTGGTTGTTCTTAGTGGTCCTTGGTACTGGAGAAATTTTAAGGTATGTGGAAAGTCCTGTGCTTTCTATAAATATGCCAGGTAATTAATCTTGTCTTGATTAAAATGCTACTTAAGAAATGTCTTTAGTCCATCAAAGCTAAAAACAACTTGGCTTTTTAATTTCTTAGTTCTCTTGCATTACCATAAGGTAATGTACACTGAAGAATATTTTTAACTTTATTTTTTGGTAGTGCCAGACATTGAACCTAGAACCTGTTCCATTAGTGTAGTAGTCTGCCACTGAGCTACATCTTTAGCTCATGAAGAATTTTAAATACTAAATTAGAAAATGTGATGTAAAGAAAGAATGATTTTCTTCTATGTAGAATAGATTCATTAAAATCTTTTGAGCGTATAAGGATAGTTGAAGCAGTTTAGAGTAGCTGTATGTCCTCTTTTAAATTAAAGATTTTATTACTTTGTAGTCAAACACAGTGACTTGTCTTTAAAAATAGATACTAAAGAGTTGTGGTACACAGATTTGGCTTTATATAATACATACTCAGAAATATCAGTAAAAATGTCTGGAGATAACTTGTTGATTCTGAAAGAGATCTTTGGCTACTCTACTAGTTAGATGAGATGTTGGGATGAAAGTACATTATACTACAGTCAAGGAAAAGGTATTCTGAAAGATCTTGTTTCAACATCTACATGTCTTAAAAAGAATCTGAAATGAACCATGAAGTAGGAATTCGACATGGGGTTAAAAATGATGTTTCTTCTGATGAGGCAAGGATTCTTTATTACTCTTAAAACTTGAGACATTGATCAGATTAACACAAGTATAATGGTACAAGCATCAATTTTAAATAGCTAAGTAATGTGGAATCAGAAGCAGTGCATCAAGCAAGTGACCACAGGAGAAATTACCTCAGGTATTACTATGGACAGGCTGAGAGAATTTGTAATAAAAGTACAGGTCATCTGGCTGCTGGTGGCTTGTGCTTATAATCCTAGAGCTACTCAGGAAGCTGAGATGTGAGCATTGCAGTTTGAAACAGCCCAGGCAGACACATTCAAGAGGAATACTGGGATTGTGAAAGTTGAACACTTTTTAGGTTGGTTCTCAATACCTAATACGTAAAAATCACTGGAATTTTATTTATTTTTTGCCAGTCCTGGGGCTTGAACTGGGCATTGTTTCGGAGCTGCTTTTACTGAAGGCCTACCACTTGTACCACAGTGCCACTTCTGCCTTTTTATGTGGTACTGAGGAATCAAACCCCAGGTGTTTGTGCATGCTAGGCAAGCATTCTACCACTAAGCCACATTCCCAGCCCCATCACTGGAATTTTTGTAGCTATTTACTAGGACTAGGGCTTTGAAACCTGGGGACAGTCTCTGCTCTAAAAGTTGATATAATAATGGTGCCCATGATTTAGATAGTGTCATTTCTGTCTTGGGCTTTTTGAGATTCAAAGCACTCATCTCAGGGAAAAACCACTTGCCCTGAGTTTTGTCCTCAACTCTGGGGAGGAAAAAAAGAGGCTAAAAATAATTAGTATTCTTATACTAAGTTTAAGTAAACAGTACTATATGTTAACAATGCAATTGTGTGTGTCAGATGATTAACTGTCAGTAACAGAGATCTGAATTTTCTAAAAAGTCCTGAAAAGAAATGGGTGTAAAACATGATATAAAATCTCATGCAATCTTCCTGTTTTTATTATCTATCTATGAAACATTGCTCAAGGCTAGTGTTGAAGCACTGAGCCACAGCTCCATTTCTGGCTTTTTGGTGTTCTCAGAGTTCCTGCTCAGGCTGGCTTTGAATTGCCATCATGAGGTCTCAATAGCTAGGATTACAGGCATATGCCATTGGTGCCCCACCCAATTAAACTTTTGAAAGTATAGTAATAACTTAAACAGATTCAATAGTCAAAACATCCAGAAAAAAAATCCCTAAGTTCTGGATGATTCAGAACATTTCATTTTGCAAAAGGGCTGGTTGATCAGGGTTTGCAAAAATCCTGAAAAAAAAATTAAATGTTCTTAAAAAAATTCTAAAAGGTTTTCCACTGCCCATTTTTTTAAATTCCTTTTGACAATTAAAAATACCACAGGTAAAAACAAAATTGGGAGCCATTATTTTAGTTCTGATCACTTACTCTGGCTTCTAGTTCATCTAATGGAGAGTTGACATGATACCTTGAGGGATCTTCCAATGTTAATGTAATAGCTATCTACTTATCAGACCCCTAGTTAACATTTAACCATATGACCAATTTCCTAAGGTGTATGCTATCTAAAATGGCAAAGTAATTCTCATTCCAGCCTATTATCAATGTTCTGCTTAATAGCTTGAACTTTTTTTTCAGTTTTAGTGCTTATTCTTTGTGAAATATTTTCTTTGTACCTTTTTAAGTGACTTGTAACATTGACTTTCTAGTTTAGATTCCACTTGATTAAAACTATTTTCCAATAGTTCCATTATTATAAAGCAGTTCATAATTTCTTTTTCTTGAAGTCTATATATTCTTCCTTAAATAAATGTAAACATTGCATTTGAAATTACTGAGAAAACACCTGGGTGGCATGTTCCAATACCAATTGCTGGACTGTTACTCTACCATTCAGTCAGGAGTAGCAGGTAATGAGAAACACAACCTGTTGCTAAGGCAAAAGTCCTTAAGCAAATTTAGCATTCCACCATATGGTCAATAAAAAGCCTGGTACTTTAGGATTATCTGACTGGAGATAATCTTACAGTTTCAACCTCCTGAGTAGCTAAGATTACACGTGGTATGCCACCGGCACCTGGCTCAGATGCAGCCAATGACCAGTCTTCTAAATAGTTTAAAATAGTTTAGCTCTAATTTAGTTAGCTATTTTATTTGAACTATTTCTACCAAGCTGATCAAACTCTTAGAAACAACCCAGCATTCTAGCCTAATCTAAAACTAGTAATGCTTTAAATGAAGCATCCTGTGAGTTAATTTTGCCTTTAAATAGTTTGGGTGTCAAAGTGGGGCATACATTTTTACAGTATTGAATACAGTCTAGCTTCATTATGGTAGTTTACAAGCTTGTGGTAGACTGTTTACCTAGTAATTCCCAGTAGTTAGTGTTACTGCTCTTTTCCCCTCCTGTTTCCTAACATTTAGAGCAGCTATTGAGTGGGTTTTAGAAACTATATAACTAAATGTAAGACTCAGAATATACTATGAGCTTATGTGCTACTTGGCCTTTCATGCATCCATTTTTGAGTTTTGAGCAGGCTCTATATAGCCCAGGCTGGCCTGGAACTCAAAATACTATTTCCTTAGTGCTGGGATTACAGGTATATTGCTACCACATACAGCTAGGCTTCAAGTATTTCTTGAATGGTGTGAGACTTCTGAAGTGATATATGACTAAATTTTATTTCCATGTTTCTGTTAACTATTTGCCACTTGAAAAATGCTAATGGGAATAGTGGTATCAATTCAATAGGCCCTGAAAGGCATTAAAAACATGCCAGATCTATTAAAGTGGTGGAAATTCCCATAAGTCTCCATTGAGAACTTAAATGAACTGTGGACAAGAAATTCAAGGCTCTATTTGCTATATAATCTTGGACAAATGTGCTCTGGCATTATTTGATTGTCTTAACCATAAAAAGCAGCAATATCCTTAGTTTGGGGTTGGCCATTCTTTCATTCTGCAGGTGAGGAAGCATAAACCCCTCAGGATAAAAGATCACATGCTGGAAAGACACCTAATTATTACAGAACTTTTGAATTCTGTACCTTTTGTTACCTGTTAACCATACCATTTCTTTTTGTGTGGTGGTGTTTCAAGTCAGAATTGAACTGTCTCTCTGCTCCTCAGTGCTTTATTTTCATTAGCTCTTTATCTCCATTTAGAGTTAATATTTCCATGGTTAGGGATGTAGCTTCTCTGGGGAGAGTTGTATGCCTAAGATGTAAGGCCCTAGGTTAAAAATCCAGCATAAGGGGTAAAATATTTGTAAGCACCAACTGTTAAGGAAAAATGTCCCCAAGCTAGATGTTTTACAAGTGTTTTAACAGATCTTAGCACCACCAAGAAAATTATAGTTGGATTATCTTAATTATAAAAAAAATAGTATAGAAGAGTATAGTACTCTGGATCTGAAAAAGATCAGCCTTTCTCACTCAGCTCGTCTCCTTACCTGGACAAGTTACTTCATTAAACAACTTTCCTCACATGTAATAAAAGTGTATGTAATAGCATATATAGAGAATGCTTATCAAACACAATACCAGCACATTTTCAGAACTTGAGTATTTTGCTAAAAAAAAAAACAAACTAAAAGATGAAGACCTTCACAGTCTCACATAGATGACATATTTGCAGTTTTTTTCTACTTTAAAACTATAAAGGTAAGTCTAGAAAAAAAACTGGTATTAAAGAAAAATGTGATTAGTATTTCAAAGTGGTTTCCATTGTCTTTAACACCTGTCTAGAAACAGGTATGATGTTGGAATAAAACATTCATGGTATTCAGCCCTACTGCACTAGTTCTTTACAGTTAATGGCTGATTGCCTGTGGGCATATTAACACACTATTTGTTTATCAAACTGCTTTAAAGTTTTATCTGATACTATATTCATAGAAACATTTTGAATAATCCAAATGATTAAGATTAATAAACCAAATTACACTCAATCTTCTTTTAGTGGATTTTTTATTGTAAAATTATCTGTTCACAAAGATTTTCAACTTCAGTACTCCACATACTTGGTTATTTTTGAATCCAAAATGACAAAAAATTTGAACTACACCACGTGCTCAAACAAGGCAATGCTTTATCTGCCTTCCTGTTTCAGTGTGCATATTGTAAACAACTGTCCTTTATGTGCTTCTGTTTTTTGGGGGTGGTGGTGGTCAGGGGTGGGGCTTGAACTCCAGGCTGGTGCTTTTTTACTCAAGTCTAGCTTGACTACCACTTCAGGCCACAGTGCCACCTCTTGTTTTCTATGGGTTAACTGGAGGTAAGAATCTCAAGAACTTTCCTCCCTGGCTTTGAGCCATGCTTCTCGGATCTGTCTCCTTAGTAGCTAGGACTACAGGCTTGAGCCACCATATTGACAGGTATAATCAGAACCTCACAGTAACCTTAATTTCCCTTAGGAAGAAATTGTTCTGTAATTACTAATTCAGTGTTTTATTTTATAGTAGGACACTGAAATACTAGAACCAACTATATTCTCAGCTCCCTTGTCCCTAAAATTGCTACTTTTTAAAAGTCCCCCCCCCCCCAAACCAACCAACCAAAAAAGAACTCTGTATAAGACTGGAAGAGTCAATACTTTAATATGTCCCTAAAGGGGTTCCAGCAGTAAATGCTCACCTTCACTATTTTCATACAGAACCTGACAGTGAGTTGAGAAAGTTTAGGTGGTAGCTATAATGATTTATCAGTTTCACATAACAAAACTTGGGATTTATTGACTGACTAGTTTGCCTTGTGTTATATACATTTGTGTTAGATACATTTTGTTAGACTGTCACCTTCCTTCATATCATTGAAGTTTATTAGTATGTAATAATAGTACAGACAAATACTTGGGTAAGGAATTTTAGTATCACTAATAACGTTTAGTCTTGTCCATAATTGTAGATTGGATTGCATTTTAAAAACATATAAAAGGATAATTTTATATAAAAGACCAGTAAAAGGGAGACAATGCAAATTTACCTTTGACTTACAGGAACTGTATAGTCAATATGTAGATTTTAATGTATGAAACTTGAATTGTTACTTATACATAGGTAATTTCTTAAGATCATTGTTGTGGCTAAATACACAGTAGGTGGGCCCAGTTGTATCCTAGCACCCTGAAGCAGCTCAACAGTATGAGAGTTCCCTAATACTATTGACTACACCTGACTGGGATAGGGCTTTTTTAGGATAGGGGCTTTGAATTAAATAGCACACAGACACCAAATTATTTACTAAATAAGCAAATATATTCAAGTGGTGTACACCTGTCATTTAATACTAGCTCCAAATACGCTAATATTCTTAATGTTCTCAAGTTAAATAAAATATTCCAAAGCTTTGCTTTAGCTTGTTTGTGCTGAATCATTTTTAAAAACTTTATTTGAGGCATTTTATTATAAAAAGTTGGTACTCATTTATTTATATGAACTTAAAATTCATCATACAGTTATTTCATTTTTTAGCTTGACCTTCTAGTAAATCTTTAGCTTCATTTATTTTGGCTGCTATGTAAGGCGATCCTCCTATAGGGAGAAAGAAAAACAGACCCCATTTTAGTTCCTTTTTCTCTTTTCATTTTTTTATTGCCTTCCTTTCTAATACTAATAGGAGTTTGTGTTCCCAAGATCAGCACATCTTCAGCAAGACACAATAGAAATGTAAGTTTAGCACAATTTTCTTTAGACCTAGACCACTAGGTAATGTTAGTTTCATACACTGCTAGGTTAGATATCAAACAATTGCTATTTTATTTAAAAGTGTCAACATCCTCTCAAAATACCTACCTCTATGTTAGTAAAAGATTTGTGCATTGAAATATGGATTTTTGTAGTCTTAGTATTGAGAGGAATTTTGTGCTTTAAGCAGTCTTACTACTTAAAAGTATATCAGAAGTGAATACACTTTAGATTTCTAAATAATCTCTAGTTCAAAGTATATACAATGGAAGAGATGAAATCATAGTTTTGTTAAAATTTAACATTTGTTTTAATGTTGAATATAAACAAAGAATGAACAGCCAGCAGCATTAGTATCTGATGGTTACTGGAATTCACATTTATCATACATGGAGACCTTAAAAGCATTGTTAATATTGACGGCTACTAGCTATTTTATCAGTTCATTCTTTAAATTGCAGATTGTATTCTTAAGATACTAAAACCAGTTGTATCCAGCATGTTCACACAGATTTAAGCCTTTATAAAAGCCAAGAATTAGTTCCAACAACATATTTAACAAGAATTTAATGATTACCTTTGTCTGGGTGATTTAAGAGCATAATTCGTCGATGAGCATCTCTTATCTTTCCTTTATTGGCAGTAGGGCTAATTAAAAAGGAAAAAAACTTTACTCTCCTGGATCCCATTAAAAATAAAGGGCCATTAACAATGGTGAAGTAACACTAAGTCAAAATAGTATAAAAAGCTGCTTATGAACCTCCACACAAATGCAAATGCATATTCTATATTGGAGAACTAAACTGAACCTTCAAAAAGTAAAGCATTTTTGAAAATGTAGTTGAATACCAAATTCAAACTGTACTCAAATCAATTCTTACTAAATCACTTCTTTTATTGAAATGGAAGACATTCCTAGAAAATGTCTTGATTACAAAGGACAGCAATGTGATAATCTGCTGAGAAGTCTTTCATAAAGTCCTTCTGTCCTGGTGCGTGTCTTCTATTTGACTCTGGAGTATTTAGACTTTAAAAATGTACATAGGAGCAACAGCAAGGCTCCATGAACTAAATCTGAAAATTCTGGGCAAAACCCACAAGAAAAATTCCAGTTAGAAATTATTTTACCTTACACCTAATATTAATGCTGCTTCCCGCTTTGTCATTTTGGGTTCAAATCCACCTCTGTAATAGCCACTGCTGAAGGCCTGAGAGAGGAAATGCATTTCCATTAATGAAATAAATGGAAAGTTCCCACAGGGAGTATACAGCCATAGAAACAAAAAATGAGACATTTTAGAGAACTCTTCAAGAACTTTTAGCTTTACAGATAGCAACACAGACATTAAACATCTTTTTCCCCCAGCTATGATAACCGATATATAAAACAAGGGAATAGTGTTTCTAATGTAGGTCTTTCAGGAGTATTACCCATATTGAAGATAAAAGTTTGACCTTAGCCTGGGCTCTGGTGACTCATGCCTGTAATCCTTAGCTACTTAGGAAGCTGAGATCAGGAGAGGAGTTCAAAGCCAGCCGTGGCATAAAAATCCATGAGACTTGTATTACCAGTTAACCACTAAAAAGCGGGAAGTGGTGTAGAGACCTAGCCTCGAGTGAAAAAGCTCAGGTACAGAACCCAGGCCCTGAGTTAAAGCCCCAGGACTGACACTGACACACACACACACACACTGTATGACAATGTGAAACTGGTAACCTGTAATCCTAGTTACTTAGGAGTCTGAGATCTGAGGACTGCAGTTTGAAGCCAGCCCCGAATGTCTGTGAGACTTACCTCCAATTAACTAGCAAAAAACCAGAAGTATAATTGTGGCTCAAGTAGTAGAGTGACAGCCTGGAGCAAGAAAGCTAAGGGACAGTGCCTAGGTGGAGTACAAGTACCACCAATACGATTTTGAACACAAGGCTTCAAGAAGAGGAACTAGAGGCTGTTTGAGGTAATTGTTCCAAGAACCTAGCACTCCAATAAAACTTTGTATGTGGAGAACATCATGCTATCAGGTTCTTTACCCTTACTAGATCAGAAATTGTATTGGTAACATCGAACATTTAATCACAACATAAAAGTATTTAACATGCTGTCATAGCCATATTCTGTTTTTCTTGTTTTAAGACAGGATCCTATGTTTCCCAGGTTCAAATGACTATCTCACGTTAGCACCCAGAGTAACTGGGACTGCAGGCTTGTACCATTTTGTCACAAGCTGCTGCATCTTACAGAGTATGTAGTTCTTGTATTAGCCAGTTCTAAGGCCACACACGAAGAATGGATCTCTTTAGATCCCTCTGTGGTTACAATACAGACAAGATGAGAGAGACAAGAATATGAACACAACAGTAGATGAAGAAATATAAACTCATAGCAGAACTGGTTAATACTACCCACGCATACTTACTCATCTAACATTTGTTTCTTTTTAAAGATAGTACTATTACTAAATTTCAACTTGTACACATTCTGGGAAAGCAAGAGAAGGAGCCAAAAGCAATCACACTGAATTTCATGGATGTTTGAAACTTTAGAAAAAGATAGCAAAAAAATGTTTTAAGTCTTACAGATTTTGGTAGGCTTTGAAAAACTTGTTTTACTTGAGGCTCCATATGCTTCATGGCTTGTAAAACGTAACGGCCTAAAACCAAAAGCAATATGTAAATTAATTAATCCTCAATCTTCCTATTTCATTTCCATTCCCAAGTCACAAACAAACCTGCAAATCCTGCAGCAGCAATGGTCAGCCCAACTGCTACCACTGTACTGGCCTGGTAAGGAGAAAAAAGTATATACTTATTAATTCTGCTGTTATGTCCATCCTAACTCATTATGCATTTCAATAACTATAATGATATTCTGGCCGATGATTTTTACCTTGCAATTTTGTTGGGCACGCGTAGTGACTCATGTCTGTAAATAAGAGCACTCCTGAAGCGGGCGAATCACGAGTCAAGGTCAACTTTGACACAACTTGTCTTGATTTAAAAAATTAATCTTTCAGTTTTTATTAAACAATGTGAAGGTATGAATATTCCCTAGAGGATATCTCAACTTGCTATTATTTCCCTCTACTACAGTGGAAGGATGAGTCCTTTCCACTAAAACGTTTCCCCCCGAACACTCAAACTCGATTTAAAGTTCAATCGAGAGCAGTGGAAATAAGATTTCTGCTAGAAGAGGGAAAAACTGTTAAGAGGGAGATTCCCGCAAACTTCCCAACTTGTCAACGCTCGATGTGGGCGTCTGTGGCACTATCCCTTCTCACAGTCTCGCTGCCATCAAAGGAGGAAGGGGCATATATATGATCAAGTAACAGGGATGAGAGATGGGTCGCAAGAGCGCAGGCGGACGACAGACCAAAGTGGAGGAAAAAAGGCAAGCACCTCTCGGCCTCGGTCTGCCCTTAATGGAGTCCAAGCGCGGCCAGGCGGACCAGGGGCTGGGACTCCTCCCGGACACGGATGGGCCGCACAGATTTGAGTCCGAGCGAGCCCGGCTCCGGCCCACGCCGCGCTGGGGCGCCCGGTCGCGGCACGCCAGCGGCGGGCGAGAGTTGCAGGGAGGCCTGGACTCCGCCCGGGGAACCGACGTGCTGCACTCACCATGGCTCCGCGCGGCTCCCCTGCCTCCACCGGGAGCGTGTTTCATCCCCGCCCAGAGTCCTGGCCTTCACCCCAGGCACAACCGGACGGCCTCTAGGTCTCCGTCCCAGGAGCCCGGCAGAATACGGCAGCGGCGGCCGTAAGCCAGCCGGAAAACTGTCGTAAACTGGGGCGCGAGGGCGAAGGCTCGGTCGCTTCGCGGCGGGCGGGAGGACGTGGCTTCCGGTGGGCGGGGGGTGGGGGGAGCCGGTGGCGCCGCCTCCCGGGCTGGAGGCGGGGCTTCGCGGAGTTTCGACCTTTGTCCGGAGAGTTTGGGACTTGCTGGTTCTTGTCGGAAGTGTCCTGTGTGTGGAAGAGCTTGAGGAAACACTTCAGAGTTTTCCTCGAAACTTAAAGAGTCTTCCGACCTAGCACTTCACATCGCGTTTACAGTTTATTTCTTGTGGCGCGTTCAGGGTGGTGAGCGCGCAGAAACGCGCCGCGGTGGCGTTTACCCAGAGCCCGGCGAACGCGGAGCC